CAGATTTGATGTAATCCTCAGAGGAGTATAGATACTTGTCTATCGGTGTCAAACCACCATCAACATCCCATAACAATACAAGACCAAGAGACGCTGTTGCACTCAGCATTCCGTGCTCTTTATTCTTATACAACCATCTATTTCCATCTTCTATCAATAATTTGTCCTGACCAAATGCTGCGTTTACAAAACCATTAACGAAACTTGCAGCGAGGTTCTGTCTTGCTGAATCAACTTGACCACCTCCAAATGCTGGTCTTGAATTCTCTAAATGAGACTTGTACACGTCCTCCGGTGTTTTCGGCTCCATTATATCTAATTCTCGTGCCAGATTCAAAAAGTGGTAATTTAACAAAGAGTTAGACATTATTTCTACCAAATCATCGTACTCTGGAGTGGATTCAGGTAATTCTAGGAAAATCTGTTGCCTTCCCAGCATGAATGCTAATTGCTTTTGCACTGAACTGAAACAAAAAAATAGTGATAAATAGGATTTTTCTTCTTTTTATATGAAATTAATTTGAATATCAGTTCAACTCACAGATCCGTGCATTTTGTAAATATATCTTCGATGAGTGGCAAGTCATTCAGTTGCATAGCCAATCTTACTGCTTGTGGAAACTGACCAAATTTTCTATACAATTTAGCAGCAGCATGAAGAAGAGTACTATTTTCAGGATCTGCTACGTATGCTACACAACTTGTTAGGTACAAACAAACTCTTTGATATGCACTTTCATCCACATATTGTTCTAAAAGATCCAGTCTTTCAATTTCCATTAATAAATCACAGGCTTCAGTTTCTGCATTATGAGCCATATTATATGGTACAATTTCATGTACCAGAGCAATTAATTTCTTTGTAGCTTCTGCATCATCCGAAAGCTCATCCCATTCTCCTGCCAATTCACCAGACAAGTGCCTAACATATTCGTGTCCCCATTCTCCAATAGCTATTGCAGATCCAGTGAGTCTGTATTTTAAGCATTCTCTACCTTCGCCCATTGTCATAGCAAGAACAGAAATAACATCGGAGCATAGCTCTTTTGCTTTTACATCTGCTAACTTATCATATATAGCTTTCATGGTATCATAATTAGGTCGCATAAATTTAAGAGGCTTTGGAACACTGGTCATCGAAGTTGTAGATGCACGAATATGATTGCGAAGTGATTCTAAAGCAGAATGATGTAAACTAGTATTGGGATCTTGTAGGCGTTCAACCAGGTGAGTTAATTCCTCCTGCAGGAGTTTATCTTCTTCAGACTAAAAGATATTACATTTAAAAAAAGAATGTTAGTACCTTTCCCATCAAACACTGAAATATCGTAATATTTCAATATTAACTGAAATTACCAATTCATTTTTATCCTCCTCCTTTCCGTTTTTGACATCCTTACTCGTCTTCGACTCTACTTTTACGCTCTCTGGCATTTTGTTTCAATTATATCATACAACGAATACAGAACAGAAAATTCAATTTCCTTTTAGCAACTGATTACAGTTTAGGTTGGAATGACCGTATCCTCTACTTGCTAGTCACCGCTTTTTATCATCAATTAGATACTTATAAGAATCGTCTCTGCATGTTATTTCGGGAAAATCGTTTTGAAGGTTCCCAATTTGTTTTTCAGATGGATGATTTCCTCAGCTAGTGCTAGAAACCTACAGAGGATATATGTACCTACATGAAGCTAGCCGGAAGGAATAATAAAATATGATTATTTTTAATTTTTCTTAGTATATTTCGTTTGTAAATCGTTTGTGACTGATTGTGAATCTATTTTTAACGTTTGTGACAAATTAGTTCTTTTGTAATTAGCAATTTTATTTCAATCCCGATGTGAGCCGAAAGTTTTTAGTAATTTTTTATAATAAACAGATTTTGTGATAACTGATAACTGTAATTGATTGGAAATCGTTTGTGATTTACAAATATATCATTTTCATTGTTTGTGAGTGAATAATTTCTTAATTATTTACAAGTATGTTTTACAATAAATAATTGTAGTGCGCATGCGCTACAGATCAGGTCGTACCCATCACTATCCTGAACAAGTGAGCTTCATGATTTGTTCGTATTTAGGTCTTATATTTCACTAGAGACGGTCGTACCCATCACTATCCCGAACAAGTGAGATTCACGATTTGTTCGTTTTTCGTTCTTATATTTCGCTAGATCCGGTCAAATCCATCACTATTCCGAACAAGTGAGTTTCACGATTTGTTCGTTTTTCGTTCTTATATTTCGCTAGATCCGGTCAAACCCATCACTATTCCGAACAAGTGAGTTTCACGACTTGTTCGTTTTTCGTTCTTATATTTCGCTATATGCTTTGGGGTCCCTGACACCCCGGTGGCATAATATCGGTATGCGGCAACCTATCGGGGTATATCGGGGTCCTAAACACCCCAAATGCCATAATGTCGTATACAGGGAGTGTCAACGGTGCTTCGGGGTCCTAGACACCCCGAATGCCGTAGTATCGGTAAGCGAAGAGTGTCGTCGGTGCTTCGGGGTCCTAGACACCCCGAATGCCATAATGTCGTATACAGGGAGTGTCAATGGTGCTTCGGGGTCCTAGACACCCCGAATGCCATATTGTTGTATACAGGGAGTGTCAACGGTGCTTCGGGGTCCTAGACACCCCGAATGCCATAATGTCGGTATGAAAACTGTGTTACCGGTTCCTATGGGGTTCCTGACACCCCAGATGTTATCATGTTGGTATGTAGACATAGTCATTGGCGCTTCGGGGTCCCTAGCACCCCTGGATAATATCAGGTCCGTATGAAGGGGGCACAACCAGCATAATTTTTTTCCCGAATTTATTCAATTTACTTCATTTATTTTTTTTTGCTTATTGAATAAGCTCATCGAAGGGGAATAACATTTATGATTATATCACTCTTCTGGGTGTCAGCCGAGGACCAGATTTATTTTACTTTTTCCAGTCATTTATATAATTTTATCCCTCATAATAGGCCAAGGCCATTCCAGTATCCCTTCCATCCCTGCATTCCTTCCATCCCAGCATTCCTCACATCCCTACATTCATTTCATTCCTACATTCGTTTCATTCCTACATTCGTTTCATTCCTACATTTGTTTCATCCCTACATTCCTATCATCCCTACATTCTTTTCATTCCTACATTCCTTACATCTCTGCATCCCTTATAATAAATATATGATAAAGACTGCTTCGAGTAAAGGTAAGTAAAGGTAAGTAAAGGTAAGTTAGTTCCTTTTTCCGCCACCAGAGGACGCTGATTCGACATCGAAATTTTAGTTCACATTTTTGCCGCCAGAGGGCCAGTAATCGAGCAAGATTTAGTTCCTTTTTCGCCACCAGAGGGCGCTGATGCGACATCGAAATTTTAGTTCACATTTTTCCTGCCAGAGGGCCAGAAACGGAGCAAGCTTTAGTTCCTTTTTCCGAAACCAGATGGCGCTGATCCGACATCGAAATTTTAGTTCACATTTTTCCCGCCAGAGGGCCAGAAACGGAGCAAGCTTTAGTTCCTTTTTCCGAAACCAGATGGCGCTGATCCGACATCGAAATTTTAGTTCACATTTTTCCCGCCAGAGGGCCAGAAATGGAACAAGCTTTAGTTCCTTTTTCCGAAACCAGAGGGCGCTGATTCAACATCGAAATTTTAGTTCGCATTTTTGCCGCTAGGGGGCGCTGTTTTTAAAAAATTTTGATACAAGGATGTAAAGGATACAGGCATGTAAGGGATGCAGGGATGTAAGGGATGTTGGGATATAAAGAAGGCAGGAATGTGAGGAATGCAGGGATGTAAGGGAAGCAGAGATGTAAGAGATGCAGAGATGTAAGGAATGTAGGGATGAAGAGATGTAAGGAATGTCGGGATATAAGGGATAAAGATATGTAAGGAATGTAGTGATATAAGGGATGAAGCGATGTAAGGAATGTAGGGATGAAAAGAATGTAGGGATGAAAAAATGCAGAGATGTTAGGAATACTGAGATGTAAGGGTTGCTGGGATGTAAGGAATGTAGTGATATAAGGGTGCAGAGATATAGTGGAATCGGAGATATAAAGGGTGCAGACGGAAGTAATAAGATCAACACGTTCGTCCTCCTAAGTAGTTTATTCAATAAACTAAGAAGATAATTACAGCAAATTAAATGAACGCAGAAATTAAAATAAGGGTATATGTATGCCTTTAGCTACCTACATGAATCTAGCCGGAAGGTATAAGAGAAAGAAAAGGAAATCGATTTACAATATTTATAAATAATATATAATATATAAAAATATATGAAATCATTTATCTTGTTATTTTTGTTATTTTATTATAAAAGATCTTCAGCAGAATGGCAGTTGCTCCAAAAAATTAAAAGAACTTTTGCCCATAGAATATGAAACAGAAAATTAAACGATCTCATCTTATCTCACTAATTTCGCCCCTAAGGGCCGGCGCTTTTGGGGACTTATCTGTCCCCATATTGCCCAATGAACCCTATCGGCCACGCGCCTTCGGGGATGTGCTGGCAGCCCCGCCAACACCAAACCCCGCGCATTTTTAAATTTCGTCACTCATACTTGTCCATACTTTTAAATCTTACTCAGTCCATACTTTTAGAGTCTGCTCATCTTTTGTCCGAATCGGTGTGTGTGTGCCGTGCATGTGTACGTGTATGTATGTGTCTGTGTAACCCCTTTTAGTCGCCTCTTACGACAGGCAGGGGATACCGTGGCCGTATTCTAAGCCCCTCGAGCCACAGAGGGAAATTTAAACGATTTCCGCTATACGTAACGCGCCGATATGCTCTCTGTTGGCAAGAGTCCTGAGTATATTTTGCGCATGCGCACTACAATTATTTACATATGTACATACATATGTAAGTTGAGCAGAGTACTTAGCGCTCCACGGGCACTTAATCCACGGCCCTTGGACTGAAAATCCCTATAATCCACAAGAAATCTGGCAACACAACAGATTGATTGTATGGTTTATTCTGGCTCTTACCCAGAGGTGGCGTTTGAGTGGGGAACCCCGGGGAACGCCCCTGTTGTCAAGGAACCCCCCTAACGTCAGGGAAACGCCCTATATCGCCCAATTTCTTTGTTTTTGCGTTTTAGTCTTACCGTTTCTGTTTTGGCGTCCATATTATCATCTTACATGAGTTCATAGATTTGTAATAGTTCTGTCTATATGGATGGTAATTATTTTTAATTATTATTGTTTTATTTTTATTAAAATTGAATGTTTATATATACTTTTTAAATTAAACTATTTAAGTAAAGTAATTTTGTATTTTCAAACCTACTTGCTCTTCCACGTTATGGCGATAAATCGAGAATTTTAAATTCCGTATCTCGTTCCGTCGACGTTTTGTATTAAATTTTTATAGATTGTGCATTCCTTGTAAATCTGATCCATCTGTCGGTGTTTTTCTTTCATTTCAAAACCGTCTTTTCCAGAAATTGGATAGAAAAACAAAAATTTCTGCGTTTCATTTCACATATTAAAAATTTGTTATGTTTACGACAATTTTCTATTCCTTTATAGTAATCCTGGCGGAGAAGGGTAAATATAATTTTATCGTTTTTTTAGGTGATTTAGAGAGAACCACGACTGAGAAATTTAATTATGGATTTTAAATTGGAAGCTTTGCTACGGGAATTTAAAGCCACAGATAATGAGATACTCGACCATATCCCTTCGGCTACAGCCCCATATAAAGAAGGTTGGAGTGATGATCATCTACGTGAACTACGAATGAAATATAAATTTCCAGATGTGATATTTACAAGAGCAGAGCTGAAAAGGATTTTGGCGAGATTTTACGATTTCTATTTTTCGGGTACAATAAGACCTGGTGATTCCTTAGCCGCAACTGTATGTGACGTGGTCGGACTAGCCACTACCTCATATGGCACAATATGGAACCCATCCGTAGTAGGACGAGTGTTTTACAAACCAAACACCAGCCTAAAGGAAACTATTAATCAAGTGGAACCGAGAACAACTATCCAGTTAATCATGCAAGCTACAGTGGTAACCACTGAACAACAAAATAAATATGAAACCAAAAGATTCAAAGATCTAGTCAAAACTTTGCTTCACAAAATTCAAGCAGATGGAGTTGTCACCAAAGATGAAACAACTTTTATTCGAATGTCTAGTTTCTTGGCGGTTTCTTTTTTCCGCGCAGCAATCAAGAATCAGACTCAAATGACAAATGCGTTTTTGAAAAAACAATTTCGCCTCAAACTGGCCACAATTACAGATTGGTCCGCGAAATTACCATGGGCTCCACCGTGTGAAAGATGCATAAAAGAAATAACAAGGGGTTTAATCAAAGGGACGCCTTGTACCTCGGCGATTTTTACAATTCTCGCGCATGAATTTACATTAACACAAAAAACAGATTACAAGAATCCGGGAGTGGCTGAGTTCCTCAATGAAGCTGTACTGATGCATACGGCAAACAACGGTTTGGGCATGATCCAGATGATAGAACAAGTCACGGGGGTGTTAGATTTAAACTGGAAAATGTTGCGTGATTACACCCTCTTGGACAAGACATTGACTTCTTGGCGAACTATAGACAATTTTTACAAAACGTTCGCTTTAAAAGGTAGACTCCAGTATGGTTACCGCTGGGCGAGGATAATTGATGACGGATACCTCAGAGGTTTTTCACCCAAAGAAAACATGTTTTTGGCTGTGATATTCGCAGGAGTTCTGGAAAAATGTCACGGGGATGGCGTGTGGAGAGCTGAGTGGATTAAAGGAAAGATCGAATTGTATGCAAGTGCGAGACATTACGGAAACACTTTATATCAGCGTTTGGACCAGCTCAAACTAGCAAAACAATCTACTGTTGTCGAACCAGATCAAAATGGAGCTGAGGCGATCTTGACAGATTTATTCAAGACTTCCGAGAAGTAAATAACAACAGTTCTAGGTTCTAGTAAACCTGGCGGATTATTACGAATATCACGTTGATTATATTACTACGAATATTATATTAACGTTGCTTATGGTACGGCATAATATTATCACCTAGTTATCTAACTAATTAATTAATTGATGTCCTTAACTAATTGGCATCAATTTTTTTTTTATTAAAAAAAAAAGAAAATTTTATTAAAGAAAAAAAAATAATGAATCAATATGATACTCTATATAAAAAGTATTTTTTTTTTATTTAAAAAAAAGAAAATGAATCAATATACTCTATATAAAAAGTATTTTACTATTCATATTTTTTTTAAATACACAAGTACTTACATGTATAACTTAAGGGTTTGATTTCAGTTAAAAATTTCTCTTCTATGTTTATACAATATAATTATACATTTTAATCCTAATTATGTTTAGACTGCTATAAAGTTTATAATTAGTAACACAAAGTATATTAAAACTTGTAGCTACATTCCAGTGAAATTTTCTTTTACTCCAATCTTCGTTTGTTACTTTATATTTTTTCAAAAGAATAAAACTTTTAAATACACAAGTACATGTATAACTAAAGGGTTTGATTTCAGTTAAAAATTTCTATATTTATACAGTATAATTATGCATCTTAATCCTAATTATGTTTAGACCGCTGTAAAGTTTATAATTAGTAACACAAAGTATATTAAAAAGTATATTAAAATTTGTAGCTACATTCCAGTGAAATTTTCTTTTACATCAATCTTCGTTTGTTATTTTATACTTTTTCAAAAGAATAAAACTTTTATAAGTGGTATGAGATTCTGTTCAAGATAAAAAAATATGTAAAACCTACAAGTATATGTATACTAGCTACATAGAAGTACATGCATGGTTACAAATAATATACTACAAGTTTCATGCGAACGTAAATTAAATTTTTCAGACGAGCGCGCCGCGGCTGCAACGCGGCATTACAAACTGTGCGCGGTGTTTCGTTTTTACCACGAACACGCGCCGCGCATGGAACGAACCATGAATTTCAACGCGCATTCGCCATCGGTTCAATGTTTTCAGTACTTGGGTTCGAACACGGCAAACCCGAAGAAAACCGTCCACACTGCGGCAAGGAACCCCTTCGTGTTCGCGCAAAAGACCGACAGAAATTGGTTCGTTGCGCGGCATTACAGTAGTGCCATGTGACATATTCGCGCTACCGTCCAAACGAATGAATATTCGCACAAATACGTTCGTTCCTTGCCACGGCGTGCTCGTCTTTACCCAGCTGAATACAAACGCTATCCTGCTGATGTGAAATTCAACCGAGCATTACTGTATACACTTTCAGTTTCACATTGAAACAATTTGCAATGTTTTGTATCGAATAATACTCTTATACTATTTGTTCTTTGTTCTTCGTATGAAGACGCATATGCTTTTTCAAATTATCCAATCTATTACATCGCCGATCACAGAAATCACATTGATAAGGCATTAAATTACTGTGTACTACAATGTGACCATTTAAATGACTAATTTGTTTGAATCGTTTTTCGCATATATTACAAACATACGGTCTCTCGTTCATATGAGCTGATGCGATATGCGTTTGTAAATTCGTCTTTCTTACAAACGTAGCCTTACACACATCACATTCAAATGGCCTGACATTAGCATGTATGGCCAAGTGAGATTTAAGCACATTTTTATGCTTGAAGTTTTTCTCGCACAAATGACACTGGAATGGTCGCTCATCATTGTGAACCTTTTTGTGAACAGATAAATGAGCAAGTTGCTTAAACATTTTTGCACAAATTTCACACTGATACGTGCGGCCATCTTCATGAGCTGCGCTTATATGGCGACGCAGAGTATCCGCCAAAGTATACCGTTTTCCACAAATTTTACAGCGAAACGGACGCTCGTTCGTGTGAGTCATTAGATGCCCATTTAGATTTCTCTTCTCGAGGAACCGTGCACCGCACACGTCGCACTGATATGGCTTCTCCCCATTATGTACGTACATATGTTTCTTAAGAGAATTCGAAAGACTGAATCTCTTTTTGCATACAGTGCATTCAAACTTTCGTTCACCTGTATGCACCAACATATGAGACTTCACGTGTCCTGCCTGTTTGAATCTTTTTCCACAAACTACACAGGCAAATTGACGTTCTTGGGAATGGGTAAGTATGTGCCTCTCCAAAACACTTTTAGTAGTGAACACTTTCTTACAATTATCGCATTCGAATAAACGAAAATGCTCTTTAGTTTTTGAAACATAGTCTTCCTTGTGTGTTTGAGTGTGGACTTTTAACGAGCTCAACGTCTCGAATTGTACCCCGCAAACTGTACAGTGGAAAGAACGATAATCCTTGTGCGTTAATGTATGCTGACTAAGGTGACCCAATTGTTTAAAACTTTTATTACAAATTTCACATATATACGGTCTTTCGTTTGTGTGAGATCGCATGTGTCTTTTCAGTACACTAGGAAAATTAAATTTTTGATTGCAATATGTACATTTCAGACCTGGGTCTCCGTTCATTTTTAATGGCCTATTCTCTAGGGACTTTTTCCTTTCTTTTGTTGTTTTCGGAGATTTATCAGTTACATTGGATTCTGTATCGCTCAAAGTTCCATCCGAAAAACACTTTGATTCAGGCGCTTTTGCATCTAACATCGAATCGTCTTGTAAATCCTTACTCCTTCTGGTTCTACTCAAATTGAATAATTTGAGTTTATGAGATTGCCTTACATGCTTTTCATATAAATTTAAAACATGAAATTTTTTGTTACAGAGTTTGCATTCCAACTTTCTTCTCTTTATGTGTGTTTTCATATGATTTTTTAAATGACCAGGCTTCATATACTGTTTATGACAAACTGTACATTTTAAATCTTGAGTTTCTATCTTTATTTTATCTTCTGCCACTGATTCATCCTCAAATGTTGAATCTTCAGTATGCATATTTAAGGATTCACTTCTAACATTAACAAAATTAAAACCAGGAGTGTCTCTTTGAGGATCATCTTTAACATCACTGTAGGAGTCATTGTCAAAATCCCTTGACTAATAAATTAGAAGAAAATTGTTAATAATTTACTTAAAAATTACTATATTACTAATATTTTACTTACACTATCTGCATCCCTCATGCTTGAATCCTCAGTTAAGTTTTCATTTCCATCCTTCTTACCGTCATCTTTCGTATTAAACCATTCTTCTTCTGCCCATATATTTTCTTTTGAATCTACAGTACTAGTTTGCTTTTGAAATTCTACGTGAACATTTCGTCCAAATAATATTTCGTAAGGAATTTTTCCGCTTTCACAATGAAACGTCGAATTCTGCATAATCTGTACATGTTTTAAAGCTTCATACCATGTCTTTGTTGGGTTATCCCGTACCCAATCTTCAAGTAAATCCTTAAAATTTCTGCTGTTTTCTTTATTCTCTAAAATTTCTCCATGAAGTATTATAAAATCCTTCCACAATAAACGCAATTCTTTTACAACTTGCTCTGCAAAATTACGTCCATTTCTACTTTGTAAAACTTGTGGTGCTCCAATAATAGTTAGTATATCCAAGAGCTTTATAGCTACTTCATTTGCTGTATTTTCACGTAAGCCTTTTAATACTACAAATTTAGATATCTGATCTTCATAAACAAAAAAATATTTATAATTACATGTGAATTGTACTGGCATGTCTATTACATCAATTTGTCCTCTATGATATAATCTTCTGTTTGTGATGTTATTTGAATACATTTTTCCAGTTTTATATATGAATCATATAACTGTATTTTATTTGAAGACCATAAGGTTTTATACAATTATTCCATATAACTCCAACATGTATCTTATATCCCTATATTGATCTTTTTACTGCTTATCACAATTTGTGATTAAATACTTCTTTTAAAAGGGTACAAATGAATACCTCTTGATAAGAATTTACATCATGCTTAAAAGATCTAATATTAATTTTTTTATGTAGCAGATTACACGTATTTCTTGATACTTTATTAATTTTTGTTGTTTCCATTATTTAATGTCCTAATGTATTAAAATCTGTTAAAATAAATAAGTATATTAGATACAATACTGTTGAAAAATAAGAATGATAACAAAGGTTAAGTATTATAAACTGTGCTTCTGAGATATAAACTGTACTGAATCAAAAAGAAAAATAACATGAATATACGCTGAATGTACAAAAGCGTTCTCCCTAACTTTATTGACTACATGTAAATTATTTATTTGTAATATGTAATTAAAATAAACATTCATGTAACACCTTTATTTTCCTTAACTATTAAACAGCAGAAAATTTAACCTGAGTTACCGACTATAATGTTGACTTTACACCACAATTAAATCTTTATGTCTGATTCAAAGTTACATTTTAGAAATTTGTTAATATCTTTCTTCTGTACACAGGTTTTCCTAGTTTTGTTTACCATTCGTACGCGAACGCTTCTTTGCCATTTTCATGAATTTTCACAGCGGGTTTTCGTGGAATCACACGAGTATCCATCCAAGCAGCTTATTAGTACTGCCATTACATCCTCGATAAAATCACTAGGTTAAGGGCAAAGAGAGCCGACTCTAAGCCGTGCTGAACAACGTGGCAACACCCCTTGTGGAGGGATCGGGAGTCCTGTTTTCAATAATAGGAACCCTCGTCTAGTAGTAGTAGTAGTAGTAGTAGTAGTTTCTACTAGTAGTTGTAATCTAGAGAGCGAATAGCGAGAATGCGTGTGGGTCAACTGTATAAGTTGCGTGCCTAAGTCTGGCCCATCTAGCTCCGACCAATCAGACCCAATTCCTTAGGAGTCTCAACTTAGCAGACGCGTACAGTACATGGTATGCACATCATGCGATGGATTATGGTTACGTGGCGTCGGTCAGAGATAACGTCACGGGATCCATCGTTTTCTCTTTTCTATCGTCTCCTCTAATGATTTGTATAGTTCGAGTTTTACCCTACACAGCCATTTTTACCCTACCTCTGACAACGTTGACTATACACAGTCGAATTAATAGGTTCAAGATGGCAAGTGAGGTAAACGAATTATTAACTCAAGCGGGTGAAAATATTACGGAAAACAATGATCACATAACGGGAAGAATACCCTCGACACCCGAGGGAATGGCTATTGCTTATGGAAGCTTGATAATTATGGCTATTTTACCTATTTTCTTCGGTAGTTACCGTGCTGTTAAACACCATAAGGAGCAGCAGGTTAGCCACGCGTTTTGACATATGTTTTACACATTCATTCTAAGCATATCTCTATAACTTTTCAGTGTCTAGCTTTAGTTAGACATTTGTCAGATTCAATTATTGAAAGTGTTTGGTTTGTAACATATTCAGATAGTTTCTGACAAAGAAAGTTTTCATACCTTTTATCAATGAAATGTAGTTTTGTAATACAAATTATTATTATGTATTTTCTAGCAACAATATAAAGAAAGTGGAGAACAACCAGATACAATGTCACGTAAAGAAGCAGCAATATTTCCTTTCATTTCCAGTTTTACATTAGTTGGGCTTTATGTATTGTATCAGGTAATATTAATTTAGTTCTAGATATTGTAAATTGTTGTTGTTAGAAATATATTTTATATCAGTGTCATATTATTTATTCAGGTTTTTGCAAAGGAATTAGTCAATCTGATCTTAGCTGGTTATTTTTTCTTCTTAGGAATCTTAGCTTTATGTCACCTTACTAGGTATGAATAATTACTGATTTTAATATCTTTATGTAATCCAATCATAAGATTTGAATGTTATGTATTGTAATTGTATCCAATAATTTCAGTCCATTAATTTCATCATTGGTACCTGCTGCAATTCCAAAAACTCAGTATCACATACTTTTTACCAGAGGTGAAGATGATAAGGCAAAACATATTATCAATTATAAATTCAATCTCCATGATATTGTCTGTTTGATATGTTGTTCTCTTGTTGGTGCTTGGTATCTGTTGAAGAAGGTATCCTCACTTAATGCCCTACCCTAATAAACAGAAATTAATTATTACAGAAATGATTATAATACCATTATGATTTTCAGCATTGGATTGCCAATAACTTATTTGGTATTGCATTTGCAATTAATGGAGTTGAATTGTTGCATTTAAATAATGTTGTAACAGGATGTATTTTGCTTTGCGGACTCCTGTTTTACGACGCATTTTGGGTATTTGGTACTGACGTGATGGTAACAGTTGCAAAATCATTTGAAGTACCAATTAAATTAGTGTTCCCTCAAGATATATTAGAAAAAGGTCTTACTGCTAGCAACTTTGCTATGTTGGGTTTGGGAGACATTGTTTTACCTGGAATTTTTATTGCTCTTCTGTTGCGGTTTGACAATAGTTTGAGTAGGAAAACAAATGTGTACTTCTATTCAACGTTCTTTGCATACTTCATGGGACTGTTGGCGACGATGCTTATTATGCATTTGTTCAATCATGCACAGCCAGCTCTTTTGTATTTGGTACCTGCCTGTTTAGGAACTCCTTTACTTTTGGCATTAGTTAAAGGAGATTTAAAGGCATTATTTTCGTACGTATTATTAAATATTTATTTTGTGTTATTGTATGTAAAGTTGAAACCCGTTGTAAATTGTTAATTTTTTGATGCAGTTATGAAGATCACCCAACTATTGCGAAAGAAGAACAATCTGTACAAGCACAAACTGAAGGAAAAAAGGAGACATAGTATTCATGTTTGAAATAATTAATATAATAAAATCTTCAGCATTAATATTATGCTGTACTCTTTCAAAATTTGTCGAATGTAGGAAATAGAATCGATAATTTATTATGTCTTATGCTCAAAACGCACAATCATAAAATTCGAAGTATCTAAGACATATGTATTATGTCGTACGTGCACATTGCAAGGATATAATCAGATATTCGACTTTTTTTTTTAATGACAATATACTCTGATACATATGAATTCATATGAATTAATAATTTACTGTAGTTTATAATCAACAATTGTTCCATTTTTATAAACATACAAAAATTTAGAAAAATTGATAGTAATTATTCCTAGAATTGTTCGAAAATGCACGTGATAGCTTTATAATTTAATTGGTACAAGGTATCTATAAGCTGTCTTGTGTAATTATTCTTCTTAATCAAGTCTGTTATCAAAAATAAAATCAGCATTTGTATACATTTTAAATCTGAGCGAGTAACAATTTTATTTTTGTCACGGATCATGTGAGCATTTTTTTCCTTGAAAAACTGGCTTCATGGAAAGTATTATATGATATTTGGTGTTATTCGTTATAAAGTACTAATTTGTATGTACACAATCTGGAAAATGATAGTGATAAATGTAATTCTTGAAACCAAGTTTTATTTAATTTTAACATATAAGCTAATTTTTTTCAAAAATGAATTTTGTAAAATATGTATAGTTAGAACAATTTGTAAAAATCTTTCAAAAATATAATAAAACATTTTTTTAAAATTTGGATATTTTTTGTTTTAATAACTGTTTAGATTTGTTATATGAAAGAAAACAATTTCTCAAATGTACACGTTATTGACCACATTTTATTTTAATATATTTATCCTTTTAGCTGTAAACAATATTACAAATAAAATGAACAGAAATAGTTACTTATGCTTTTTCAGCATCTTCTATTGCCAAAACCTTTGCTGTGATGGGTTCCAAATCTTTTATGCCATCTTTAGATACCTTTTGTACCTTGAAATTCGGAAGATTAACTATTAACCGTTTATGTATTTCTCTGACACATTTTTTCATTAGTATATAAGCTTCCTCTTCTGTTGAATCTGTAATATATCACAATACGATAGACAATTATTGTATTCATAAATTTTAGTGCAATATTTAACTGAAATAGTTTTATTACCATATTTGTGGTATCTATCTAAAATGGAAAGAGAGAAAAATCCTCCATAACCGTGTGCTGCATAAGGCACTCTGACGCATGATGCTAAATAATCAATGAAATATAATTCTGGTCCATTATTGTTATCATATCCTGCCATTAACAAATTTACAAAATATGGTGTTCTGCTTCTAAGATAATCAGCCAAATTTCTTCTTGTAAAGGACGCAGCAGCTTTTGGTGATAACTCATAGCCATTTCTCATTTTGTAAAGTTGTATATTTTTTCCTATGTATTCTGAGAATTGTGTAGTATCACCAGCCTCTCCAGAGACTGCCATAATAAGCTTGTCAGACATTTTATGAATTTTTTGTTCATCTGAAATAACAGAACCAATGAAAAGTATAATATGATTTATGTTCATTCTATAGACATTTTACGTATACATTTGTATTACACTACTAACATAAGTAGGTTTACAAATATAAGGATTCATATAAAATAGAAATAACAATGAAAAAATAAATTTCCTTCAAGTTTCTTGTAGCTTGTAATCAAGTAAATGATTTCATACCGCTTTTCATAACCATAATGGATTGAGCTGTAGTCATATCGGCTGCAACTAACACGAAATCTTTAAATTGTATTCCGATTAAACATTCCATTTTGACAAAAGATTGTTTTAACCAACTCCACTAGAAGTATACACTCGCAAAGAACACTGAAAATTGCCTGTCACGAATTGTGAGGTTAAATTTACAATGACCAGTGAATATAGCACAGGCCCTCTAAAATTAGTTTGGCGCAGAAAATCCAGGCGGCGCTGGTGTCGCTACAAACACATATAAATGTTATCGGTGAGATTCACACACAAGCACATTGTCTCTATATACGTGTGCATGGTACTTACACCGCAGTTCACCAGAGTCCATAACTGCGAAAAGACCAGTTTTCGTTCTTTGCGCATCTCCAGTACGCATCTTCGCCCTGATTGGCGATACTCCCAAACGAAGTGGAAAGCGATTAGCAGAGAGCTCGCTGCGTTCCCCCACCATCTTCCAACCTGCGCGTCGCAGTTATGGACTCTAGTGAACTGTGGTATACTTATTCAAAACTTTGAAAAATAAAAATAATGGAAGGGAATAAAAATATACTTCAGAGAAGATTATATTACAGGCAGTAAACGGATTTCTTTATAGGAGCTCATAGGATAAATTAATCATCATCGTATATTTATTCAGTTACGATAAAAGTAAATGGAAAGGAGAGACGCACAGAAATGACCGGTTCACGTGCAACTGGTATGCCGTTGCATTTCTATGTCAGTGGTAAAGGTCTAATAGCGGACTCGATCTTTTATTCCTTTCAGCCTTATTATAGATGCCGGAATACCGATAATTTCCTGTGGTTCGTTCGGGAAGAACGAACGTTCAACAGGACATTTTAGAGAGATAACGCTTAGTCTAGAAACTCGTTAAATGAAGAAATTTCTTTGTGCAGAAACGGAGCATGTACATATATTTGTTACGAGTTCCCGTTCCTTCGAACTTTAAACTCGCTAACAACTGTTTAAACATTTTCCGTTATTGGAAAGATCGTATTCCTTTCAACATTTTCGGCTCGCCGATAAAATTTATGCTTCAATCATTTCTATACAGGTCATTCGACGAAATCTATTTTATCGACAAATTTAATATTTCTGAAATAAAATTGAAAAGATTTATAGTTACGTGTAACTTATTTGATTTTATTATTAAGTATAATTAATTAGTAAGTGGTTAAGATATAACTGAAATAAGAAACAGCTATAATTCGTAGATAGCGTTAATTATATTGTACGTTTGTAGGTAAGACAGGTTCCTCTAAATATATAATTTGTAGACTGAAATAAAATTGCACAAACCTTTGTATATCTTGTTCTTATGAAACAAAATGTTTGTTTCATTCCGTTCAATCAACAGAGAAAGAATGGAGGAACAAAATGTATCGATATCCAAGGCAAGTTCATGGAAATATCGCCAGCTTAGGCTCGTTGAAGGTCGTTCGTTAGTCCCGTTACGTTACTATCCATCTATGACGCGAGTGAAGCATTCAACGATGGACTCTCGGCGCATTTTAACACTACACCGAAGTATCCAATTAGTTTGAACTAAATTACGCATTCACGTACTAATCTTCATACTGCAAATATAATTAAAATGTTAATAATAAAAAATTTTTTCTTTTGGCCATCGAATAAATGTATCTATCTAATAAGACAACTTTCTTCATCAAAGATGTGAATGCTTTCTATTTACTTACAGCTTTATGTATCGAATTATTTATCTCTCTGCTGTAGAGTCGTTCGATAACGTCGAAACAGGGAGAGAGTCGAAGATGTATTAACAAGTACGTTCACCTGGGATTCGATTTACGTTTCATGAAGTACGGGTCGCCGCTGTACACGATGATTAGCGAGATCCTCCTAATAAGAAGACACTACACCAACATTCCGCTACTGAAACAGTTATGATGAATCCCGATCACCCAGTCCAGGGTGCACGCAACACAAAATGAGCCTTGACGAAGAAAAGTAAAGCCTGTAACGTTGCGGATGACTGAATAGAAGATTTGATCTAGCGTTCGATCTGAACTTTTTCCAGGAATATCGGTTAACACGAACAGTGAAATTGGGCATTTTTTTTGGGACATATCAAAGCTTTAATTATTGTAAGAATAGTAATAATTAATTTTCAAATTTTAAATTTCAAGTTTTCCATTTGCCATTTCATATTATTTGTACCATAGCAATATTACTTAAAATAATGTTTTTCTATTGTTTTCTTTTAATTATTCAGGCGTGTGCAAGTTGCGGGGCCTGTTAACACGTTGAACATGATCACAACCTCCCCAATAAGTAATAAATATTAATAATAGTGTGCTGTATTCTTACTGTAATAATTAATGCATTTGTTAAGCTACATAATATGATACGTTTTTGCCCCTGTAATTTTACATAATTCATTGTACCTGGAAGCTCGTTAAATCCAACTGGTATTTTCTCCTTCTGTTTCACCAATTTTTTTATGAAAGCATAACGTTCTGTTTCTACTTATGTATACTCTATGTTCAGAAAAGCTTGACAGAGATTTCTTTCGATCTCATTCATGAATATAGTCTCTCTTTCTCTCTTTCTCTCTTGCTGTTTTTTCTTTCGCGAAATATTCGCTTTACAACTGGTTCCTTCTGGGTAGCATGACAGGAATCCGGGGTGGCAATATCCTAGCTAGAATGCATGCGTAAGTGGGTGAAAAAATTACGTCAACTACTATCATATGATTATTACAGACCTTTAAAATTTTGAAGAATTTGCCATTGTTTCGAGTCGAGAAGATTCGAAATTCTTAAGATGCTTATTAAATTTAAAACAAGTATCTTATCGTTTGAAATTATTTAAAACTATATCTGTAGAAGAAGAATGTTTGTCAGGAACAGCAACTGTTTCGTGTAAGAGAATTTGGTTGAAATATAAAAAACGTGCGAAACGTTGAGGAGCGTAAAATCTGGTCGAAAAGTATTCGAAAAGTAGAGCTTGGTAATCCGCGACGAAGAGTGAAGCAGAGGATTGGTCAGTTCCATTGAAAATAGTGCCAAAGGTGTGTGGTCATTGGCCGTGCAGTCTACCCCCACGTAAGTGCGCAAGCTATATAGAAGACCCCGCGAGGAATTTCATCTTCAGAACTGAGAGTCAGTGTCAAGGAAATCTACCTGGAAGTAACGAAGTGAGTAAAGCTTGTTTAACATTGTCTTAAATCAAGGAAAGCTACGAAAATTTGTGGATCGTTTCTTTTCCGATACTTGCCATTGAAATACACGTAAGTAGCGTGCAAGCGTCGAAACATTTCTCGATACGATTTTCATCGGTTTTTATTAGAACAAAGTGTTTTGCTTTCGTACTTACACAATGTAGAATACGAGAAATAGAAATATTTAATCGGCAAAGTATTTTGGTGCCGGATTACGAATATTTTAAGCTCAATCTATGGCGCCTCGTTGCTTATCTTCCGTTTGACAGATCTGAAATAAAAGTTTCAGATGTAAGAATTGTTGAAATTGCAAGGAACAAGCCAGGGACAGGTAGAAAATACCTTTTGCAGGTATCACGGTACAGTTAGAAATCGTGAGCAATTTTTCCGGTGCCGTAGGTACCGTTTTCGAAAGGTGTGGTACTCTGTAAGATACTCTTCTTGTTTGTTTTCACGGTATTGCACGCGATACTCTTCTTTCCGTTCTTCTAACTGTATTTCAAACGTCGAAGAATCAATCCGTTTCTGAGCTCAGTATTCGATCCGTTTGTTAACCAAGTAAAGATGAGCTCATTCGTTTGCGTAGCCTTCCTAAAATTTATACAATAAAGATTTGGATAAATTATAATAAAGTTATCATTTTTATATTACATTCAGAGTAATATACGAGAATCTAAGGGAAAAGATACAAATTAAAAAAAAAGAAATTAGCTCTATTTTCTGAAGTTTAATTCGTATCAGTTAAAAAAGGAAATCTGGTTTTCAATAACACGTTCTTCTCATCATTAAGAAAACTATACGGTTTTAATCCTGTCTAGAATCTTCTGGATGTTTCGAGTGAAAGAATTTCTCCCATTCCCTCTTCGTGCCTTTTATTTTATTTTTCCCATTCTTCATTAAGCCAATCGGTGCAATGGAGGACGGCAAAGACGACAGTAGGTCGCGACCGCATTTTCAGGTAACGGTACCTGCCGGGTTCAACAAACCGGTAGCTCGGATCAAGAAGTGGGCTACCTGGTGCTGCCAGGACGACCTTAACCGCTCTGACACACTTTCCAGCCGCGCTTCGCGTTGTTCCTCCACTTCGTTCAGCTTTATTCGTTCCGTGTTCGCGCGATCGCTTGCTCTTTCTTGCCTACCGTTTCTTAACTCCAAGATCAAGGCCATTGATAGTAGAAGGACCAGGTAAATTTCAACGAAATTATAGGATTGTTGTCCTTCAACTCAGGATGGATATTAGTGTCTTCTGGAAACAATGTGATATATCTTTGATTTCTCGTCGATGATCAATTGGGTCAATTGTGTGTCATATGTATTAGAAACGTGATTCACGAATTTTCTCTCGAGTGGGTCGTTCCCTCTTATTTTCTCTTTTGAATCATTCGATGATTACGGAAAGAGAGAGTTCACGTTCGTTCCTCGTTTAACCAGTTGACTACCGTGACAGGACAAAATTTAGTAGAATTGAATAATTAAAATACAAAAACATAAGTTTAAAATTAAATAACACTATCCTTAATGGACAGTTTATACTTTTCCCTTGTAGAATGCATTACAATCAGTACGTGTCGCTATGCTTGGTGGCGCTTGTCCTGGGACAAGCAGCAACACTGCCACAGCATCCCCAGTATCATCCGCAACAGTACCAACAACAGGTCAGGGACGAGAGGAAATTTGCTGAGAAACCGAACGCGATGAAGAAGGTTGCCCTTGATGACCTAGACGATATCAGCACCAATCAGATTCAAGTGAGCCTCTTTATTTATGCATGTCACCTATCTACTACCTGACAAACGGTATCTAATCCAATTCCGGGGGGTATAACCTCCCTTGGGGGGAGCAACCTATATACTAAATTCGAGTCTCAGTTCATTGCAACTTTCAACCCCTATATCTCCCGCCCCCTTAAGACTTCGACACCTGGAACCACCATATTTGTGATCCTCATCCTCCAAGTTATCCAACGCTATAGATTACAACCCAATGGGGAGCAGCCTATATACTAAACTGATGCCCCAATTCCTTAGGATTATCTGTATAAATACTAATCCATTTACTCCATCTACTCCCTGTATAAAAATATACAACTATTAATAAAATGGAATAGTAATATTACTTTGGATACCACTGTGTCGAATTTGGAATATATCACCTTTTCAATTCTATGTTCAATTAATTTCAACGTATGTCGAACTTTCCATTGAACTGTTCTATCAGGAAGGTGGCAGTACCGGGTTCTCGTGGTCGAACATGTTGAGTATGCTGATGCAGATGTTGTTGGGACAAACTGGCGGTGTAGCCGGACCGAGTAAGAACGAGATCGACGATGGTGCACCAGCTAGCCCTTGGGCGAATTTGCTTTCGGTAGGCCTCAGGGTACTGACAGCTCTGCTAGGAGGTCCTCAACAACCCGTTGACGGTATCGACAAGGTTGACAATCAGAGCAGTCCCATGCAGGTACTTAGTGCATCCTTCTGATCGTGTCATATCTCTTCTTTTTCTGAAAAAAAAAGGATGTACACAATGAAAACTGACAAGACAAATTTTGTCGAGGTGTACATCCTTTTTGAAACGATACGTGGAACTACGGTCATTTCCGCTTAGAGCAGAAATATAATTAATCGGTAGACGGAATACAATGCCGTCCTCGTACGCGCGGAGGTGGTCCCAATCAAAACGGATTTAGAAAGCAACGAAGGGTCGTTGAAAATCGTTTCAAGCAATAAGAGCAACGAGTTTCCGAGACTTTCATCGCGATTCGGGTCGCGTAACGAAAGCACAAGCCGAATTGACTGTACATGTATTGCGAGAGCCGATGTGGGTCAAACGCATCGGAGAACTGAATTATTCCATGGTTAACAACCGTGCAATGATCGCTTCGACGAGTTACATTCTTTTTTCTATTTTCTATGGAAATCTGCTTTAGATGTTCTTCTTTTCATTCAAGTTTACCATGGAATCGTTCGATTTGTTTCCTTCTGTAGATCATTTAGTTTAAACACGACACGCTGTACATTTCAGTAGCTAATTAAATCTAGTAGCACGTCTATTGCAGTAGATAGTATATCGCTGAGCATGAAACGAGCACGAACAGTTATCAATTATTGGTATTACCTTATTTTGAAAAATTTAATGGAGGTCTTAAAATCTTGAAGCATTCTCCATTCATCTATTGTTATCCTTTTGTCTTCTGAAAAAAAAAAACAGAAAGTGATAGGAAACCTTGAGGACTTATAAGTGCCGTTCATGCATGCATTGTAAAATAATCGTCGCTTATCCGTTTCTCTACTTTTATACGCGAAGGTATATCGTTCTGAAAGAAACTTACAACGATGTACAAATCGCTTCCTGACACGTGAGACTGCTTACGGTAATGAAGCTCATTGTCTCTTCGGCAATTAAGAGTCGCGACGTTACTTTCGCACGGGGACTTAGATCCGTTAACGATCTTCACGTTTTCTAAACGATTTAATTCCCTTTCGAGGCGAAGTTAAATGCGTTACTCTCGATGGTCGAAAGAAAGAATGTCTGTTCTCCCTTGTTGGTAACAAAACTCTTATGAAGTTCATGTATTGATGCATTAGGTTTGTTTGAGATTAATTTACGTAACGCCTCTCTAAGTAACAATACTATCTAATTATTAATCCAAATATATCTTTTGCATCGACTGAATACGTTAACGTGATCAATAATTCATTATCGTGAATGTTCAGCGTATCTATCGAAAATATATCTATTGCTTGGGTGCAACGTTAGATACGATTCCTTGTACATATACAATTATGAGAATGTGAACTTAGAGCACACGGCTGGTGTCGGTTGTTTAGGGCATTTTGACTGCGGTGCTGGGTGCGTTTCTAGGACAGGGCAGAGACCCCGATCAGGTTGCTGTCATGGCTAAAAACGCTTCCGAGGTTAGTAGAATGCTTCTCTTCTATCGATTTTGCACTTTTCAATTGCCGTATAGAGAACTGCCCTTTGATATCTTAACGAGTATCATGTATATGTGTTAATAACAAAGCAGAGAGGATCAAAGAATCTTTGATATTGTTGCTTCCATATACCAATTGACCTTGATTCTTCTTGAATAGTTCATTAGCATAGTGATCAACCTGTTGGACGCATTGAAGACTTCGTTCTCTCATCGTTCATTGACGGCCAGATCTATGGGAAGACGAGATACCGTTTCAGAAGCTGCCGTCGCATCCATTTCCATGCTGAAGGTACAACTTATATCTATACTTCACGTCACGAGAGTCCATAACTAACAATAAGACGCGCAGGTTGGACGATGGTGGGGGAACGCAACGAGCTCTCCGCCAATCGCTTTCCACTTCGTCTGGGAGTATCGCCAATCAGAGCGACGATGCGCAGAAAAGAACGAAAACTGGTCTTTTCGCAGTTATGGACTCTGTAGTGTTTTACATTAACAATTAGTCGTGTCTAAACGAATAAACATTTTAAATACAGGGTTACATGAGGTCGGTGAAATCCTTTAACAATGTTGGTCGCGCCGAAGACGAGGGTCAGAGAGGATGCGCCGAAAGAGCGCTCTGCGAGGCAAGTGCCGAGTGTGTTGCAGATGCTCAGGGCACATCGTCCATCTTCTGTCAGCTTGGATCGTACGTATCTTCCCTGAAAACTACATTGACAGTCCTCTGAAACGGTTAAATTATAAGTGTCTAAGCGGAAGTTTATTCTTTCTTCAAGATACGCGACGAGCTATTTACTGCAGAGGCAGAGCGGAGTAGGTTTCGAGGCACTCTACGAGGCAGGTCGACGTGGACGTACCGGAGAGGATTGCAGAACTCTGTTCGTGGATTGTAACGCCGTATGAAGAAGCGGTTTCGTCTCGATCCATTCAAGTACGATTTAGACGCTCAGGGACACCATCGACCCCGGATTTCCATCCGCATTTTTCAACATCGAAAATCCGGGAAACTAGCTTCAAATTCCATTCCTTTCGATCGCTTTCGAGTGCTTTCTTCTGTCCCGAGGTTTAGATCGCACTTGAAATGGTGGATAAAATAGCTTTAGACGCGACGTGGAATATGCGCAAGAAGCGTGCCGAGACCAAAACCAGAAACTTAACTCTCTTCTCGCTTAGTACCTAATCGGTCTTTCATTAACGTCAAAATTATTTAATCAATTAATTACAACTGATACACTAACGGTCACGTGTAGATACGTGTACTTAGACATACAACAAACTAGCAACGCTAAAAGGTCATTCACACTGGTCCTATATGTAAAGTAACAAGTGCCAGTGTGAATATCTTTATAGTGATTGTATAGTAATTCATTAATCAATTAACTACGCTACCATGATTTGATCAATGATGCAATGAATTATAGGAAGAACTCTTGGTGTCCCTGGAAACTACGCATCTTTTCCGTGAACACCGAGAGTTCATTAACGTAGATTCTACATTTCTGAGTACACTAATGCAGATTTTACGTTGTAATAAGTTCTAAGAGAAAGAGAGTTAGGTAGAAAGGAGAAAAGTGCATGCAGTGGGAGAGAAACACTTAACGTAGAAATAGACTGAACGAGAATCCAGGTCTGAACGAACTGTGAACCGTTCGTCTAGGTCTCTCAACGACAATCACGATATTTATTTCTATTTATTTGAATGTATTAAATCTAGTAGAGTTAGCGTATACCCTCGAGGACTGGATCAGTTACGATGGAAAATAGGACATAGCTTTTATGAAGAAAAAAGAAAAAAACAATTTTGAATGAAAGTTTAAAGTTGTAACATTGTAGACAGGTCGAAATTTTTGTTGAAATATTCAAATTGTACGATTATTCTGTTCTTTTGCACGTAAACGACTGATTCGTCCTCGAAAGAGCCCTCCATTATTCATACAAGCTAACGTCTCAGGATATTGTGTTTGTTCTATCACCCGCTCAAAATTATCTACTGTATATAGGCATTATACATATATATATATATATATATATATACGGGTGGAGTGTTTCGCAATAACCACGTTCTATTTAGCTCAGTTAGCGTATCACTTAGAAATAAGTTGTATGTATGACGTGTGGTACGATTATATTTAAATTGAAGCTAATAAACGGTCTTATTCATAAGTAATCTTCTTTTCATTTCACCTTCCATCGTTATTCCTGAAATGGTACAAACATATTATAATATAACAGATACATACAATATGAGTATTTATACTTAAAATTGATAATGAAAATTCTTACAGTTAACAGTTTTATTTTGTTCACCTTAATCTTTGAAACTCTATTGCAACCAAGCACGATAACGAGGACAATGTATGTTTAACTTGTGCAAGGAGTGGAAAGACGTAGGTGTCATCAGGAACCATGAAAATTCACGTGCCGTGACAGAAAACGGATTGAACAGACAATAGTTTTCTAGACGAAACAGTCTGCTTTAGTGCCTCGTGGAGAGAGTCTAAGATTGTGAAATCCGGAAGCTTTTTCTTCTTCAAGGCAAGGTAATAGTGCTTGCGTTATTTTCAAGTACTTCATGTTTGCTTATGATATTCCTTCAGATGACGTTCAAATCTCTGATGAACTTTGGAAACTTCGCCAAAGGGCCTTATCATCCTGGCATCGATAGATACCACAACTCTAATGGATACCATCATAGTGGTTCTGGTGGCTATTATCATGGCTCACGAGGGTAATTAATATCAATTAATATCAGGGCCAACTTTGAGATTTCGGGGGTCCGAGGCGAGCCCCGAAAAAGGGCCCCTTCACATATATGACAAAATTTATCAAATTAACATTAAAGCTTGTATAATTAATTTAGATTTGCATTTATATCAATTAATAATCAAGTAAACATTACTCTTTTTGCATTCTTAGACGCAAAATCGTTTTATGGGGGCCTTAGGTGGCCGCCTAGTCTGCCTAGACCCAAAACCAGCCCTGTTTAATACCTATTCAAATGTGACTATTTAACGTTAAACCAAATTGAGTAATTTTTGTAGAAGCTACAAGGGTAAAGGCGGAAGTGGAGCAGCGTTGAGTGCGTTGACCTTGCTCGCCTTCCTGTTCCTCATAAACGTGATGCAGGTAATTATCAGTGGAACTTTCTGTTGTGGAAGGAGGTCGAGGAAGGATCTACTTCCTGTTGATTTGTCGTGTCTGAAAGAGAATATTTAATTGTGTCTAATCACTGTTTAGATATAAAGATATGGGTCCACCCCAAAATCCCGACAGCCAATAACCCGACACCCAAAATCCCGACAGCCTAAAATCAAAATCAAACCGACACATTCGAAATACACAAAACTAACTCAACCACGCCAAACAACAATACTAACCTAACCTAACCAAGAACACGGAGTTTTGGTAATCGGGATTTTGGGCTGTCTGGATTTTGGCTGTCGGGATTTTGGGCTGTCGAGATTTTGTGTGCCACTGAAAGATATAACATCTCCAACAGTTCTAAGCTTCAAATGTACCATTGTTCAATCATACTTATCGTTTCAGCAATCCATGCAAGATAACAATACAATGGCAACAACCACGACATCCACGATAGTGTTAAGGAACGATGATCAATCGGTGGTCGCAGATGTAAAAGAGGAGAAGGACATCAAGAAGGACGAGGTGAAGCACGACGGTATCTATGGGACATCGATAAAATCCAAGATCCAAAGGCTTAACAGTCAATATATTAATTAAATGAAATTAATTTGTACATAATGATTCGTACAAGATGAATGGTAGTTCACATAGAGAGGATGAAGAAATTAGTTTGAAGCTTATTCTTTTCGTACCGGTTAACGATCCGCCCAGAAGGGTCATCAGTTTTATTAAGATAATATTTATTTGAATCATTCTGTAACAATTCCTTAAAACAGATGTGCTTCGAAATATCATATATGTATAGCATACATCCCATACTTTGTTTTATTGGAATTTTTGTTTTATTGTGTGTGTGTGATTTTCTTTTCTCTCTTTCTCTCTCTCACTCTCTATACATATATATATATATATATATTTATTTATATTTTGTTTGTAAGTTATATAATAGCAGTATAGCTCCTTTGAGAATAAACATACATATATATACAGCGAAAAAAATCTTGGATTTCTTATTCACTTCATTTTGTAATTCACCCGCGAACGAATATGAAGATCGTACTTCCGGTAATTTGACGCGGAACTCAGTCGAAAGATATAATATATATATTTTTATATTTATATTTATAAGAATAGACTCTATAGGAATAATTTAATGCTGTTTCTGAGAAAATAACAGGCTTAGAGCCGTCCACGACGAAGCTTTTTCCTCTCCTACAGATTCCTTTTTCTCTACACGTTTCTCTTTTATCTTCTACTATTTTTTATTTTATTTTATTTTATTTTATTTCGTTATTTATCTTCGACCTTTCTCCTCGTCGTTTTGAAACTTTGATTTGTGTTCTGGTTGTAATATTTTCTCTGTGTCTTTATTCTTGACTTTGCAAATTAATTGGCTCTAAATTGAAAGATTCTCAAAAAACTCTCGAGACGTACGAGAGCCTTCGAATACATATCAATTATTAGAAAATAGATTCAAATGCCAATAGTTTGATCGATGTACCGTTGATAATTCTAAAAGAAGAACTTAAACGATACCTTCAAATGAATTCTGGTTCAGGCAATGTTTTCTTCAAAATCTCAACTCGTGGACGATTCCTTGCCAAGGGATTCATCCGTAACATTAACGATGATCGTTATCAAGCTTGTTTTAATTTCTTACAATTTTTCTGACGGCAAGAGAGCATTCTAGTGTCTAGAGGAACGCAGTTTGAAATGATTGAGCCAGCCGTCAAAACACAAACATTATTTTATTCTCTTTCTTTGTCCGCTTCTTTTCTCTTTCTCGCTCTCACACACATATGACGTTTCTCTTCGCTTCTTTTTCTCTCTCACACACGCCTCTTCAAGATATGCACTCTCTGAAAATTCATTTTTATTTATATACACAACGTTAGAAACATTTAAATATTCTTTTAAATTTCTCGTAGTTCGTCGCGTATCTTAAAAATAATCTTGAACGCTCCTGTGTGTATGTGTATATGTATTGCTAAAGGGAGACTGGATGGTTGATTACCAAGGAATATCCCAATATGGTTTCAGGATGTTCCTTTGAACAACTTTTATATCCGTTCAATTCTTGTCTTTCTTCCTCTTTTCTGGGATACAGAAAAGCTTAATCCTTTGCACACGAACGACGATGTATCACAGTTTGAATGTCATTAAATGGCTGAAAAAAAAAGAATGAAATTTGCAATAAAAAGAAGAATTCTTTTCTTTTATCCAATTATAAAATAAACAAACATACAACCTTTAGCGCTCGTAAAGGTAATTTAATCAATGTAGTTCAGAATGCAAAGGATTAACTTACATCCTTGAACACGTCCAGCAAAAGAAAACCTAATCTTCCTCTTTTGAATTTCTTTCATATACAGATTTCTAAAGAACACCATGAAAATCCAAGAGAGAAACTTGGAATTCTTAAAATGTATATGAGAATGAAGAATTTGATCATCAAATCAGCAGATCGATGATCCATGGAAGAAAATCTTCTCTAACGAGTTGATCTTTCGTCTGCAAGTAACAGACGATCTCTAGAGGTTCTCCATATCCCATCATGGTACTAGAAAACTCAATGGATATCGAATACGATGAAGTTGGATTATATCCGACGAAGATGGCAAAGATAAACTATCAACATCTAAGGAAAGTCTCGTCGATCGAAGATCCTTTCATAGATCTCGACGAGCTAGCTAATTACATGATTAACCACTGAACAATTCGTTAAGCTTTACCTTTCAGGTGCCAGTTAGGCTCCTTTTTTATTCCAATGGCAAAAAACAGAATAACCATTCAATTCCTAAACGTGTATACAAGTCTTTCTTTTTTTCCCTTGAATCTCTGTGAACGGAAGAATTTGAAACGCCTTTACAACGCTTCTACGAATCTGAAAATAGACAAAAAGGTATACAATGGCGGCTCGCATATAGGCACTGTGGAACTGCAGCACCCCCTATTTCCACTTGATATTATCGATAACATTTAATATAACGTGTCCTTTCTTCTTTAATTCTTTCGTTATACTTGTACAATATATAATCCTTAAGCTTAACGTCAGTAGCCATTCCCCTGTTAATGAAAAAGATACAAAAATCTTTATATGGAACTGTGCGTTTCACAGTTCCAGCGGCGTGGCGTTTGCCTGCGTGCGCATGCGCATATAGGAAGCTGCGCGCGATGCTGCGCGGGAGAGAGAGCACTGTCGCTCCCGCAGTGCCGGTTTTTTAAAAACAAAAGCTAAACATTTTCTGAAACAGCACCCCATTAATTTTAACTACGAGCCGCCACTGGAGGTATGTGAAATGGAATAACAAAGTAGTGAATGCGAACTGATATTAATCTCGCTCATATGCACAGATTCCAGCATTTAAAAGCAGCATAAACCTTAAATCAGAATACCCTAACGTCCAAGATGAAGGTGCGACTGGTACGATTCTGGTCATTTGATTCTAAACTCGTTACAATAACAACATCTTCTCGTTTTCGTCGTTTCTTATCCGTGGATGGTGGCTCGTTTCTGAAACTATGCTTCAATAGAGGCGTTACATTTTCGAATGAAATGTGAATTCCATGGATATGAAGTGCACCATGACTGTGCACCGTTTATGAAATGACGATACACACGAGTTCCTCATACACGCCCACCAAGCACACTGATTTCTTACACGTAATACTGATAGAATGATGTGTCGATGAAATGCACGAAGAAGAAACTCCTCGACTTTTGTACCCAACCGCGATATGAACTAGAGAAAAGGATACTTAGAAAAGACGAGGTTGAGATCCTTATTTAATCATAATTTGCTTTTCTTTTCAACGTTCGATTAATTTCTCATGCGTTTAAATTCTTCTATCAACGAATCACTTACAGATCTAAGTTTATCTACATGATATGAAGCATAGAAAATGTGCTCCCTAACTTTCGAGATCCAGGATACTTTCAAGGCAATTCAAATCCAGCTAGCTAATTAATTTCGATTAATTTTTAACAGGATGGATCTCGAAAAGTTTGAAACGAATAATTTTAAAGGCGAGCCACCGTCGTTAGGAAGCATACCCTAGTGCAAAGTTTCAAGTAACGAGGGAACGAACGAGCTCTCGTGGAAGATTCACGTTTTACTCTAAAACGATTTAGGGACTTTCGCAAAAATGTTTTCATGAAATCGACCGTGAAATATTTCAGAATCGAATTTCAGAAAACATTTACGGCCAACGATGAGAAAAGTCGAGAAAAATTGCAATAACGTTTGACAGTTTCAAGTATACAAGCTGTTTCAAAGAAGATGGTACACGAAAGATGGAAAAGGATTCTTCTGATTTTTTTCCAAGGTGTACATCTTTTTCGAGGCACCCTGTACATTTTGTACGCGTTTGCCGAATAACGAACGACTCTGTGCTTATACATGTTTTCGTTTCGTTAAGAAGGTATTCCCATTTGGAGGGGCTATTTCTAGTTCTAAAAATTACCTAAGACAGCATCTCGAAATAGGAATAACTCGTTAAGAAACTTCTCTATTAATGTGAAGACATCATCGTAGAATAGTATTACGTTCTTGGGGAAAAGGTTCGATAGAAATTCGAGAACACAGCTAGACGCGCGCTAAAACGAGCAACGGAGAACTCGTCTCGAAGAGAGTGTTTCAACGAGGAGAATCTAGAAAAAAAAGAAATAAGGAGAATAAGGCGAGGCGTGCCGGTGTTTAACTATTATTGGTGCAGGCTGTCTCGTCAGTCTCGTCCTGTGACACGATACTGGACCTGTTCGACCTTACATCCAGGTCTATGCTAAACGGTTTCGAGGAGCCTGCGTACAATGATTGGCTGCCTTCCTCGATGCTCAGGCTACACTCCAGCGAGCTGTCACTGAAAGTACAGAAACAGACCTCTACTCATCACTAGCGTCTTCGAGAATCGCCCTACGAGACCGTTTGTGCTTTGATCGACGATCGTACCCGGGCTTGTTTACCTGACGATGCTGGCACGGTCCATGGATGTCGAGCTAGGTACCGTGCAATTATCGCCGTTACACGGTCGTTCGCCGTTGCTGCTACAGGAAGAGGAGGATGTTCTCGTTGCTGTCGCTTCTTTCATCGACGCTCTTCGCGACTCCTCGTGACACTCGCACCTGCAACGATGGACGATCGATTAAATCGATGCGATCTACTAACCCTGATACGGAGAACTTTTGTCAAATACCTGCACTCCTCTGGTTGAACGTAACTGTACCCGCCCGATTTGCCTTCGTCATCTGATCGGGGGATCGTTTGAATTCTCTTCGGTGCTTTCCTCTTTTCAGGAATCTCCTCGAAATTGATCCAGTTGCTTGGTCTCGTGGACGATCTTGGTGGCAGTGGCGGTGGACTCGGCGATTTCCCAGCACTTTTTCGTCCTCCATCGGGCACTTTGCCTGCAAACTCCATGAACGTGTTCGCCGCGTGCTTCCTCGGACTCTTTAGCTTAAAACTTTCCTCCCGCGGTAAGGATATCTTCATCTTCTCAACGCGACGCTCGTCCAGCGACGTGTGCATCACGAACTCGTCGAGGAGAGTCGGATTTATGGGCGTCGTGGATCGAGGCCTCTCAATGGGGATCGTTCTAAATATCAACGAATGATTTAAGAGACAGTAGTTGAAGAAAAAGAACGGTTAGTAGAGCCGGGTCAACGATAGTACAAATTATTTGATAAAAGGGTGTAACAGGATAAGATGGTCAAAAGTGCCCTTGAGCCGATTTTATTCAGCAATGCACCATTTTATAGCTTATAATAAAAAACCATTGTACACCAAGTTTCAACCCTGTATCTCTACCGGGAGGGTAGTTACAGGGTGAGAAAGAAAACGTGATTTTTGCTATGCTTAATAAAATCGACTCAAGGGCACTTTTGACCATCTTATCCTGCTATACCCTTTCATCTACGGTAAAATTAGACCCAGCTTCAATCTCACCGTCAACCGTTAATCGCATCGTTAGCTGCATCTGGTTTTGTGACAGTTACCTTACTTCCTGAAGTCGTTGTTTAACCGGCAGCATCGGCACAGCTACGCTTTTCTCCATAGGCAAGGTGGTGGGAACATAGGGGAGATCCTCCTCGAAGCTCTCCTCATAGAACAAACCCTTTCTCTCATCAGGCAATTCCTCGGCGAGTTTCTCAACCTTGTTTTTGACGAACTCGATCTCAGAGTCTCTCTCCGACTCCGAGCTGTTGTGATCCAGATCGGAAATCACGCTGGACATTTTCGCGAGTCCATCCGCGAGACTGATCAGGTCGTCCAGCAAATTCGAGCTTTTAATTTCCGTGCTCTGTATCACTTGTTCCTTCACCTGTTTCTGTCTACCTTCGTCTATTCTTTCAGGCGGTTCTATCGTTTGTTTAACCTCTTTGCTTCTTCTCTTAGGCTTCGTCGCTTCTTTCTTACCGATCGAATCCTTCGAAGAACTACTGGACACACGATGTTCCGTGTGTTTGCTCTCCACCGTCGATGATTTCCCAACAACCTCGCTCGTTTTAACTTGACCACTTAACTTGGAATCCTTCGAGGAGCTTCTCGAAATTTCTGAATCCTTGGATCCGCTTCGTGGTACCTCATGGTCTAACGCGTACGATCTTGAGGTGGTCTCGATCAGAACCTCGGTTCTGATTCTCGACGGTGGCGGGTAATGTTCTATCGATGCTTCCGTCACTATGCTTCCTGTACGAGGCTCCGACTCGTACTCGTCCAACAGTTTCGTCGGGGTTTCTAATGGAATCGAGACGCTCTCCGACGGCAGCGCTTCCTCGTAGTTTCTATCGTCAGCGTGGAGGCTTATAAAAATCGAGTCGTCCTTGCGGTCCTCCTTTTCCGCGTTAAACCGGAACTCCACGTGACCGATGCTTTCCAAAGACGGGTGTCCTCCGCTGCCCTCTAAGTCGGTCCCACATGAAGCCGCGATAGCCTCGTCGTAACTCTTCTTTCTCTCACGTTTCTTGAACAGACTTAACGTCGACGAGAAGACGCCTTTGTTCTTCGAGTCCTTCTTCAAGCTGGACCCTCTGTCGATGGACACTCTTTCGCGTGACTTCGATCTGCTTCGCAGACTCTCGGTGGTGTCCTTTATCTTTGAGGTCAGGCTACGGCGTGGTTTCGTGCTGGGCGACGGTGATTCTGGGCTCAAAACACTGCTGTCTGTGCGGGCCTTGAAAAGTCGAACATGCGGTGGTCAGAACATGCAGTGTCTTTTTTTCTTCTCGTTAAAGCTAGCGGATCTTCTACAAAGACAAAGCGAGGAATCCATGTGCTGGACGAAGTGAAGAAGCGTAGAAAGCTTAACCTATTCTGTCTATTTTCTATTATCGGTAGCTTAGGAGGAACTACTGTGTCTAATTGGAGGGAGTACCTTGAACAGGGAGGTGAAGCTGCTCTTCCTCGACACGGAAGAGGGACTGGGTGTTCGTGAACCCTCGAGGTCCCGCACTTTCTGATGCCTCGGCAGTTTCGGGCTGCCGGTTACGCTGCTCGTCGTCGGAGTGGTTTGCACGATTTCCTTGAAGTTCTGCGTCTTCTTTCTTTTGTCGTTGAAATCTAACGTGGCTGGTTTCTGAACCTCTTGCGCTTGGTTCTTCGGCGTCTGTTGCTGGGACGTTGTGCTTTGCGTGTCTGCTGACTTCTTCACGACAGGCAGCTACATTTGCCAAAATATCGTTAAGTTTGACTCTGTATATTCCAAATTAAGCACTACAGTTTAACTCTGTGAAACCCTTACCTCTATGTTCACCTTCTCTAAAAATCTCTTGGTGATTTCCACCTCCCTCTTGAAGATCTCCTTTCTTTCCTCGCGACCCCGTCTTCGAGGCTTGTCCAAGGGATCCGGTTTCAAGTTTCCATCGACCATCGACACTTTTATACTGTCTGGAATCAACGCTTTGGTAGTGTCAGCCTCTCGTTTCAACAGGATCTTTTCTAGGTCGTCTGTCTCTGGCTTTGATGGCTCTATCAGATTGTCTGCCAGCGTTGGCTTGCTCCCACAGAACGATGTTTCCAGCAGGCATTTGTGTGGGCTAGGTGACCTGAAATGAAAATACTAATTAGCTCTCTTCAGTATTCTTCGGATACGTTGCCACACCTAGTACATAAATTTTCGTGTACCTCGAGGAAGTAGCTGAAACGACAGAGAGTTTGCCAGATGCACCAGAACCTTGGCTACCCACGGAAGAGAGTCTGGAGGTTCTTCCACTGATATTCAACAAAATGATCTCGGAACAGTTGCTGTCTTTGCGTTCACGGTCCAACTTACTACCACTGTAATCTGACTGAGAATCATCCTTTCGTCTTTTGGCGAGTTTCTTCGATTCCCTTCTGAGATCCTGTTCGTGAATCGGATCTTGCAGATCTAATTCTTCCGTCGAGGATCTCAAATCTTGAGCATCCTCTTTGTATCCCAGAGTCAGCTTGCATCCAGCCGGAGGCTCTCCACCTACAATTTCCATTCGTATATTATTAACGACCGAACTGAAGCTCGTTAATTTAATAACTATAGTCCTTTAATCTGTAATAACTGAAGCTAACAGTGCACTATCTATTTTTTAAAGGAATCTACAAACTGTCTTTTACCAATTATATTTCCTTATTATACTCTAAACCAAATATAACACTGTCTACGATGCACAATCTGTGCTATAAATACAACTATAGAGCTATAATATTAATACTGTAATCAGTGATAGTAGGTATATACTGGTTTCTACTAGCATAGTTAGCGCTACGTTATGAAATGAATGCGTTAAGTGTTAACGAAGCAAATGAGAATCGTGTCGCGTTTGTGTGTCACTTGATAGAATCGAGCTTGCTTCTCGAATATAGGACAAACTTCCATTCGATTCTCCCGCAACTTGCGACGCGTATTAATTCGTGGCACGCGTATCTCTAGGGACCATTTAGAACCTCGCGATCGATTAGAACCTGCTTCTCTAACTACAAAATACAAACGACTCTTCCGTGTTATTTCGAAACACATTCAGGAAGAATAAATTAAAATGTTAACAAAAATCAAAGATATTTACCATTAGGTGGTGACATTAATGACTCAACAGTCTAAACTATATTTGTACCGCTACAATTGTTACAATAAATCCTATTACCTTTAAAATCGTAGACAGACCTATCAGAGCTGCAATAGATTATTTTCACCTATGCTTGTACAGAGAAGACAAAAAAGCAGAGGACTAAAAAAGAATGTAGTAGGGTTGTTTCTACGAGCAAAGAAACAAGCTGTCGCTGTTTGGTCGCGTTATCACGACTGAAATTTCCACACGAGAGGAGAAGCTGTAAGGTCTGGCGCATTGTCTAGCTGGGTATAATTGAATTTCGTCACACGTCTCCGTCGAATACCCGTGGAAAATTCAATTTACCCGTGTAAACGATTCAACTTCCAATTTCCAAGATACGCGGAAAACTGTGAGACTTTGCCGCAGTAAAATTGTATATTGCAATCGTTCACGCATCGTCTGCAACAACAGCTCTTCGCTCGAAAGTGTATTGGTTCTGTTTGCCCGAAGATTTTCAATGGTTGACAACGGTGAATTATATTTTCAACTCGAGGGTCGAATAAGAGAACTTGGTAACAATGAGTCACCAACGATCTTATCGTTCCCCTGCTTTGTTCCAATATGACGACAGAAGGGTGCGAATTGTACGTAAGGGGGTGATATTAAAGCTGCTAGCTCGAGTCTGAACGAGTTATGTTTTATATGGTACGAAGAATTCTGATGATTAGCCTGACTTTTTCTTCAGAAATCGATCGTTTCATATGTAATATCTTATAAGGTTCGAACGGTACCGGGGTAGTCCTAGGTGCGGGGGGTGTATGTCTTTAGACGATGGCTACCTGCAAGGAGCTCCCTTTCCGGCGACGAGTCCCTGGAGTTACTATCCTCATGGTGGGAGGAACTGCTCGCCCTGCTGATGTCAATTCTCGGCGTGCTGGGTGTCTTAAGCGAACTACCAGGCGTTGCCGGCGTGGCCACCTCAACGATGCCTGGCATTCGCGTAGCCGGTTCCCCCTGCATTCAAATTCGTAAGGCTGGTTTTGTCGTCGAGTCACAGTGTCACTGTGGGGTGTGGTGATGGTGGTTGGTGATGGTGGTGGTGGTGGTGGTGGTGGACACAGGTGTCTGGCTCTGTTCCGTTCACGGGACAACGGAGCTTCGACTTTCGAACACGGGGATCACGACGCAGGTGAAGCGCGTTCGACGAGATCCTCGACGACAACGAGAACAACTCGAGCGGATCTCGCTCGGAACAGCCGATTTGGAGAGGAGTCAGGGAGGACACAGGGAAGGACTCACGTTTTCCACCTCGTCGGACAGGTCTTCGAAGGATGCTATCGGCGCTGGTCCAAGCTTCCTCTGATGAACGCTCGGTATCTCTGACGCCATATTTTATCCCAATAGTTTAGCCCTCGATGATGCTGGAAAACACCCATCATTTTAGCTTTTATTCGATTCCAATTACTTTTAAGCCTATATATTTTATTCTGTAATTATATTTAAAAAATAAAATAATTTTCCAAAGAATGTAGGGAAAGGCTTTTGTGCTTAAAAAACAATTGCAAACCAGTAATTGTATGCACGCCAAGCAAATTAGGTCATTATATAAATTTTAGTTTTGCTGAATGATATCCGGGGCTACTCGCCTTTTTTCGAATGAGTAAAAACAGAGGTTCCAGTTTATTGCTTGTTGTCTTAAAGTTATTTAATGAATCAAAAAGACATATTTATTACCTGAAAGAGAAATTTTTTTTTTGTATTTTATTAAACTGTCCGGGGCTACCCGCCCTTCCCAATATTTTTTATTTTTTTAAAAATATTATTAACAGTTACTGTCGAGTAGCTGTGATTTCGCTAAACAAAGAAGCTAATTAAAGTCGATGTCAGAACATTTAAGCGAATCGATTAGGTCGCGCAGTAATGTGCAGGATGTGCCGACATTGAGGACCACTTGTCGTATATCAGCGCTGCAATTTTCCATTAAACCATTTCGAAATATTTTTCTTGCGTGACCCTATTACCTCGTCGAACGATGAAAATGCGGTCACGTCGTTCGTAAAACTTCCTCCAATAATCTCACGGAAAATGATGCGAATTTCTTCGAAGAATTAGAACAATCAGTTTTTGATACCAAGTCTTCTTTTAACACTCCAGTCACTCCGGTAACTTCTCTACGCTTTTGATGTACTTAAAAATTTTACCACGCCTCGGAGTTTGTGAAATCGTGTTACGCGAATGGTTAGTAAAGAAGTTAAAGATATTCCAAGAAGTTAAAGACGTCGATCCTCTTGTCATTTCTTTTCGTTGTTCCCTTGAAACGAAACACAACCGTTTTCCTGTCAGAACAATGGAAAAGGAAAATATTTCGACTCGAAGTTGAGTTATTTCAGGAAATATTCAATCATTCCGTGCCACGTGTTAGCATTACACAGTATGAATCTAAAAATAAAACGTTACATAAACATTAATAACATAACCGAGTTGTTTCATGAATGAAAGAAAAAATTATATTAGATCAAACAGAGAGTTCCAAATAATCAATCCTATTAAATTTTCCACGAATCAACTAATTATCCTAACAACGTTACTAATGCCAATTATTAAATTCGATAAAGCGAATAAGATGAAAAAATTACATGTTCCAGTAAACTGGTCCGTTCCAAGCTCTTTCTGTCCAAGCCAAGGGAAGAAAAAAAAAAAAAAAGGAACTCGGCAGGTGAGAAAGGTCGTTGATACGTTGAGCCAATTAGCAACGAAGTCTCGACGGGCTCAGACTGTTAAATGCACCCTGTTCAGCCGTAAATTCGTCTTCGTTTTCTTGACGAAACAACCTTCGGATTACGTGATAAGCATAACTCAGCTCCAGTATCTAACAGAAGGAAATTGATGACGAAGAAAAAGATAGAAAAAGATCGTTGTTAAAAAACGAAGAACGTTTCACTGTCTGAATCTATTTCACGGCTTCCAATCTTTCGATAAATTAATTGTTTGGTCGTCTGGAGAGGAAATGTCGGCTAAACGAAGTCTTCGTGACTTTCAGGCGAACGTGAGATCGTTTTAAAACAAACCACAGCCGCTTCTGGCGATTGAAAAACGATCGATCAACGTCTCATCTTTGATTTCTGCGGTATACCGATTTTTACGATGAAACTGTAAATATCAGCTCCTGTATTAACACTACTATGTCAATGTCAATTATTATAGCAGATGTTACTTGCAAATACCAGCTGAATTAATAAATGGTTCAAGAATAAGACAGAAGAATAATAAAATAAAGGGCCAGTAATGGGCTCTTTCTGATAAGAATCTTGGTAAATTTTTAACACATTGATCTTAAGAAGATTCCAAGTTACATCTGTGTTATACAGTGCTTTCCGTTGGAAAGGTGAACGACTGAATGTTAAGGCACGGAAACCAAGCGTATTGGTTAATGCGTGGGAGTGGCCGCAAAAGCATGGAATAGTGCCAATATCAGAAAAGTGTCTATTCCCGAAGGAAGAGATAAATAGAACGTGGGGAGAACATTGGAACGAAAGTTCTTATAGTTACAGAGAAGATCTTTAAGACAGTTGAAAATTCAACTGCGTCCTCTGATAACAACCAAGCTTTACAAGCGTTCAAAATGACAACCCTCCGATTTTTCTGAAATTTTCGCCAAAGCTTATCCTTGATTAGAGAAGAAAGTTCCTTAAAGGAGATTTATGGCGACAAAGCTTCGTTTGCCCCCCAACCCCCTTCAAAGAGCTTTTTTTTTTCTCTAAAATCAATATTTTAACATCCTGCTTAACTATTAGTTGTAAATTTGAAGATCCTCTAGACTATACACTCCAAGTGTCAACAACAACAACAACAACAACAACAAAGTGCATCACAGTAATAGATGAGGAGCTCCAGGTGTAGGTAGGTAAGGTTGAATGATGGAGAAAATCGGAAAACAGTCGAGGCTTCTCGAAGCTGTAACACGGGAACGACGACGGTGCTATAAATAGAAAAAGCCTTGTTAGCGGTTACACGATGTTCGCGTACGTACATACATGCGGATAGACACACCAGACATAATTGTCTTTTTTTTATTTTTCATACACGAGGAAGGTGGCGATCGTCAACCACCGATAGCCGATAATCGTTCCGTCGGCCAAATGAATAATGAAACGGCACCAGCCTCGTGGTTTCAACGATTTATCCACCCGTTACCTTCCTCACATTTCACCTCTCTCTCTCCTTCTATGATCTCGTTTTCATTCTATTCTTAATCGATTCCCTCTGGTTCGAGCATTGATTTTTCGTCTTCCTCGTATTTCAACCCTTTGGCGTTTTCTGGAAATCTTTCTATTAGCAGATTATACAGCAAGGTGGTAATATAACAGTAATAACCAAATGGAAAGTGCTCGTGACGCCAAGTAAACAGAGAACCCATAGACAATTCTAGTCCCTGATGGAAAGCTCTCGTTGATGATTGCGTGCCATACTTTGAGCAATTTACGGTTGACAAGCGACAAGGCAAGCACCTCGTTACTTATGATCCAACATGACCGTCCTTACACACCGTATAATTGATCCTTAATTGCACGATGGTACTAACGGTAATGAGAAGACGGAATAAATACTCGAGCATCGAGTTGGTTGGATTTCATTATTACAATTACAGCGAATCAAAGGAAGAGTGGTCGATACGATACACCTCCTTGCGTGCGGCAGCAGTTTAATATTAAGGTAGCCAGTAGTTTCGCCCCTTTATCGCTTTATACAGAAACGCTAGACACTCTTTAGCACGATCCTTGGTACACCTTGTTTCGCAGACAATGAAAAAGAAGTTGTTATATCAATTTAGATTAAGATTTTCTTCCGCTACTTAATATTAATATGCCGCTAACTACATTGTTACTGGATTATCATTAAATTACTATAGTAGTAATAGTGGTAGGATCAGCGAGTATTATATACCTATAACTCCTGCTCAACTGCTATAGTTATCCTCCCCCGTGTTCAACTATGTAGATCCTCTAGGGGAGCATTTCGTGAGCGGGAGTTTGCTCGATGACGTTGCTACATTTTATCTTTCGACGTATTAGAAGTTGAGATGGTTGCGCAGCAAACCTGACCGTTCAATTTTATTTATAAACGTCCTCCTCGTCGGACGGCATTCAAAATTCCGTTACCATCTGGATATTTTTCCGTCGGCGTTGACGAATCGATTTTATCACTGCACGCTTACAATACGTCTCTCGATCCCATTGGAATATCTTTCGCAGAGCCACGGAATGTTCCTCGAAACAGAAGGATAGCTAAAAGAAAACTGGTGAGAAACTTTCCGCTAACCGAAACGATATATTTTAAGTAATAGAAATTTGGCGAAGATCGAGAAACAGGTCAATAAATTCATTAGAAACTGATCGATACGCAGGATTCGAAGTAGCAACGAGGGAGAATAAAATCTTCGATCGATTCAACGATACAATGAACTCCTCTAAACGCGTCCCGAATAGATCCCCAGCCTGGAGAGGACAAAAATTGCTTAAACGGAGCGACGCTCGGGTTATTTCATGGACAATGGATGAGTGTGCATTGTTTGCAGGCCTGCTTTTTTTCAACGCAACGCCCATGATGGAAGCGATGCAATTTGGAATATGACCTTATGAATTATTTTCAAAAAATCTACTATAACTAACTAATACGGTTAGATGTACATCATTTGAAATTGTCACGCAGGCGACTAATTGTACAAAGTAATTGTTTGATGCGAGGAGAAAGTGAATCGAAGCGAAAGGGTCGCTTTAAGTTCCTCCTTAACCCATTGACGCACTTCGACGCTCCACCACTCGATACCCCATGAAACCCCCATCGACCATTCGCGTCGAAAGCTTCACGCGCTTTCAGGACACGAGTCGAGCACGCTCGTTTCACGTCTCCATGAACGGTGAACGACTTTAGGGGGTGTGGGACAAGCGTGCTTCGGTAAAATGAAAAGGGTCGCTTCTGAAACGTACAACAAGAACGAGAGTAAAAAAGAATCGACGTTTTTTACGTAAGAAACATTTTGTATAACACGTTGATCTACTTGCAGATATCACTGAATATTACTGAATTTCCATTAGTTATCCTTATCAATTACTGTAATGAATCTTTACAGAAGTGATCTGAAATCTCAGATCACACGATACCAAGAAGAAGATGATAAAACACTGCAATTCTTCTCAGATAAGAATTCAAATGGTAAGTCGATGAATTATCGAAAACAGAAATTTTAAAAAGCAGAAGAAACAAGTCTGTCACCATTTAAAAAAAATCAATAGTTCTTCTCTGAAAAACAAATGCAACTATCTAGTAGCCCACTGAACTCGGTGTACACTATTGAAAAGAGGTCATTTGATTTTTTGAAGAACAGTCTTATAAGAAACAAGCGAATTCTGAATTTCTCATTCTTCCACGAAGCATCATTCTTTTCATTATTGAAAAGCGTGTCCTGTATCGCATCTTCATTCCTGGCGAGCCATATTTCGATCTAAATTCCCTACATCCTGTACGCTATCTACTTCTTCTTCACTGACTATCTCATCGTCTCATCATCTTTCCTTTCACGTTATTCTTTCAAGCTCGTCCTTACACACTCGATCGAGCCTGGTGAACAGGAGATCCGTAGTGAAAACTGATAAAGAGTCAATCGAAGATAAAGATATGTAGGACAGTTAAGGTATAAAGGAAACGAGAACCCTGGTGTCTCACTTACCCCACTGTCGTGTCCTCCATGCCAACTATCGGGAAGCAATCGATCCCTGGTTCCCGCTACTCCATCCTCCCGGATCGTCCGTTCGATCGGGTCGTCTCTCCGATTCTTCTTCTACTACTACTACTTCTTCTTCTTCTTCCTCCTCCTCTTCCTGTTCCTCTTCCTCGTGCGTTCTCTTGGCCTGGGCCAACGGCTACCGTCACTTCTCTGCCCACACCTTACATCTTGACGGTCCGTACCAGCTGTGTTCCGCGGGAGACCCGCTCTCTCGGCCCTCTGCAGCGACACACGACGACCCACGTCCTACTCATGCTCGCGTACTCTCTCCACCGCGCACTCGCTGCCCTTACCTACTGCCTGCTCTGTGCCAGGGGTGCAGTCTCTTGGCGATGGGCCATTGACCATCTCCTAACACCGGCAGTTTTGAAATTTTCTCATAAATACCAGGGATACTAGAGGATCTGCAAAATTAATATGATTGTAGCTGTGTTGTTATACATGGTATTTGTAAATTAAGGAGGCAATAATAATGGACAAGGTGGTAATAATGGTAATAATGGACACTTTCTTTGCAACACAATTTATAGGGTGTTTGCAAATTAAATATCAAAAAATATGTAAAGATGGTTTTAGAATAATTATGATAAGAAAGTTGGTTATAAATATATGATAAAATAATTCACCTTTGGTAGAAAGAACATGTTGAAAATCTGGAGATACGGGGCCTATGAATCAGCATAGTCCTCTGTGCGGATTTAGCGGATAGTAGGGGCGCACCCTCCCCCAGGGTAGGATTAGTCACGATCCTACTCGGTCGTAAAATTTCAAAGGTAAAAGGAATAAAAAAGTGGAGCCTCGTAACGAGCTGTCACCTCGTGCCTCTCTATTATTCCGGATCGGACAGTGCACCATGTAATCGAACAGAATTTCACGACGACGTTAATTGTTTACTTGTCCGCCGGTGTGTACAAGAAAGCATCTGAAATCGATTCGAACATGAAAGGGGTTGATCTGAAATTGACATCAAACAAAATTGCATAGTTCTAAAATTAATCCTGATTTGAGTTTATATGTAAGAGCAGCTCAAAAAGAAAATGAAAGATTTGTAGAATTATTTTCTGTTAATGTTTTAACATATTCTTTATACTATAGTATCCTTACAGACTTGAGGTACTAATGATTGCATAAATTTTATCAGATTTCGTTTAAATGCATTCTCTGTAAATATAGAGCTAAACGAATATTTTACAATTGCAGAAATAATTATACAGGGTGCTCGAATTTAGGCACCCAACTCTGGTATCCAATAAAAGCACACACCCCTAAGAACAGAGGTGGCGCGAGTTGCAAAGCCATCCCCTGCTGAATTTCAAGAGATAAAATCATTGACTAATAAATATATGAATATAATATTATTAAAGAATGCTTTTCTTTACTTTTTATTCAAGTTAATATATGTCGCCACTAAATTATCACAGCGTCTCCTTTAGGGTTGTTTTGGCACCAAGGGTCGCTTTCGATCAATGTTCCTCGCACGGGTCAAAACAGATACATCCTATGCAGCCACATGCAAAAACCAAGTTCGTAAACATCTTCCTTTTATTGGCGCTCTTTGATGGCTGTTTTGATCATTGACCTGTAATTCAACCCCATGAAATTGTTTTCAATCTTGTTAAATAATCTCAAACAGTAAATGGCTGAAAAGTTAATACAAACATTATTTAGCTTCGACATCGTGTAGAGAAACACGGGTCGTCTCATATAAAGATTTTATTTCGTTAGTACGTACACATTTGCGCCAGCACAAAAAAGGATCATATTATAAAACGAGAACAATGCAGGGTTCCTTTTCCGAGACTAGACACATACAAGTCGTAGAATTTCAGGGTTTTCATCCATTTCTATGGAACAATTCAGATCCATTCAGATCACCCTGAAATCCAACGTTCAAGAATGTTCGCAATGCAAGATTTCATCTTTGAAAGATTTACATTGACCGACTTTCCTCGTCAATGATGAACTTTCTCTTTCTCTTTTGATGAATATATTGTTTCCCATGCACTGGAGTATATTTACACGCTCTCCCTTGTTCTCTATGGTTTTCTTGTCGAAATTTGTAATACAGTTGTAAAAATATAACTGATTCAATAATTACCAATGAAGCATAAAATATTCCAATGCCAAGGACGAGATACACATACCAGTCAACCGAATTAATTATACCATGAAGAGTCGACGAAGATGCTTTGAAGTACGCGTTTTCATGGTATTTACAGGGCAGTGTTAGAAGTATTCGAGTTACGCTATTAAAAGGCAGGCACTAAGTGACTCTTCAAGGTTCCAACTTTGCAAGCGACTAAACTGAAACGTGCAACATCTTCGTGTCTTCCTTTATATAACCCTTTGCACTAAATAGTAATAATTTAAACTCTGTAGATCAGTCAACGTATAGCCAATTACTTCCACTTATTTTTCTGTACGTTATCTTCTAATTATCATAATTTTCATACAAGTGCAAAAGGTCAACGTCTTATATCCATCAGACTTCATTAGATAACGAGGCTTCACCCTGGACATTTTACAAACATCAAAAGAGAAATCAATATAATGAAAGACATGTTATGAATTACAAACTAAAAATATAGAATATAGCGATACATACTTAATTCATTGTTATCTTGATAACTTCCAAGATTAAGTACACACCAAAATTATGATATAATTTTCTTTTCATAATTCAGAAATCATTTTTTCTTCTCTACCACCTATGTAAACATACATATGAATTTTAAATTAATTAAGCTGCTACATCATAAAGCAAGGTCTTACTTCTCCAAAGAAAAAAATAACAAAAAGAAGCAAAATTTGGTGTGTTCGTCATTAGTGGAAACAGAACAAAGCTGTATCGATTTCTTCACGTAAATGTTACACACAGACGGCTGCAATCTATAAAAATAGTTTATTCTATTCAGCAGCTTCGATAACTTTCTTCTATCATCACGCTCGTTGCATTGTTCTGCGATTATGTGACCGTGTCACGTTTAGAAATTTATTCACGAGTTCGATCATTCAACTCCCCACTATCTCTGTTAACACAGTTAAATTCACCTGTGTAACCGAGCTGTATCGCCTTTGTCGTTACAAAAAATGTTAACTCTACTAAAAACCAACAACGACATTAAGATCTATATGAATTTTTAATGTTTCATCCTCAATCGAGTCGACCATTGAGTCACCAGGTTCTCTGTTTTGTACAATGGTCAAGGTGTGTTAACTTTCATCTTTCGAAGCAACAGACAACGCGTACTACTTGAAAACAATTTGTAAATCGAGTACTACTTAACTATAAGTACTTTATACAATTTTTTTTTTTTTCTACTCTTCCCGTAGGCTTGATTGAAATCTACGCTAAAGATTAATGCGAAGCTTCGAAGAGCCTCTATGCTTTACGAGCTTGTATCCATTGAAATTTTTCATAAAAATATGACGAATATAATACACTTGTTATCCTGCGTGTATTCACAGTTTTGCTCGTCGCCTCTATCGAATCTGCTTAATCCAAATTTCACTTTACACGTTCATACTGCGTGAATATCCCACCTCGTTTCTCCTCGGGCATTCATTCATCATTCATAACGTTTCTTCCATCTGTTCTCAGTGTATACGATACGTTCCTCGACCCTGAACAATCGATAAATACAATTGCTAGAACAGTTACTCTGTGTATGTATATGTAAAAAAGTTCGTGGTCGATCTACGATCGAAGCAAACTCGTCCTTTGAACCGTAGGATTCATCAATGGAGATCAGATTCCAACAACCGTCAGGTGTGTTTCGTATCGTCCGACGATTCGCTGGTAAATCTTCTTCAGGAACGAATGGAAGACGTAGTCGAAGACGTCGAGACGAAGCGATTTAGTTTGCTGTCAATTATAATTTCGTCGCCGTTTCGAATATTGTACCGATACAATTGTTTGTTCGGATACAGCATTTCTTCTGGTCCATACTGTGCCTTCATCACCTGTAGATATATAACTATGTTAACATAAAACCTCTTTGAACATTTTTCGTTTGAAAATAAATGGCACATGAACGAAGCTTCAAATATAGTATCAAGTTACAATTATACCTCAAAATATTTCATGATATAATGTTTGGAAAATTTGAAGGGATATCAAGAGTCAGGAGTCATGGAAATTGTTGTAAATTCTAGATGGTGATTCCGTGTTTTTTATGGGGCTTCTCGAGGAACCAAACGTTCTGTAAAGCACAGAAGGATTTCTTAATAACTGAACTTGTCGAAACAAACCTGATCCACGTAGAATAGTCTCATCCTATTAGCGGGGATTTTAACCATTGTCTCCAGTTTAGTTTTCAACTCGAAAACAGTTCTGTATACATCTACAGATCGTACCTACAAATATAATAATTAATATTAATAATACTTCAAGTTACAAAATTGATACTATTTTCATCCTTGAACTGCTTTGTAAACTCTTTCTTAATAAGCTGATTTGTTTATCTGATAAGACGATTTTGCGTCAAAGAATGCAAGAGTAATGTTTACTTGAATATTAATCGATGTACATAAATGCTAATCTAAATTAATTATACAAGCTTTAATGTTAAAGCTCGGGATCCCTGAAATCTCAGGGCCGACCCTGATATTAAGTCAAATTATCTTGTAAATTTACCTCGACCAGGTCTCCGTAAGTGAACGTGACCTTGACCCTTTTCTCTGGCGTTAGGTCAACGTGTACCAGAGGATCCAGCTTTCCATGAATAGCCACAAGCTCGGAATACCTGAAACCAAGGAACAGGGTTAGCTCGAGATATATTTTACCAGCGACGTCTGCAATGGTGACGATACTAGAATAACTTTATGGGTCCTAGTTTGACTGAAATAGAAACGACAGCGGTAAAGGGTAGAAAACAGGTGTAAATCATATGACACACTTACGAATCTAATTAACATTAGAATGCAAACAGAATAACGATGACGATATAGAGACACCGAGCGAGAAATTAAGATATAAAAATGGCGAAGCAGGAAATAAGGAGGAGACTCTAAATAGAGACACGATTTCTCAGACGCCAGAGTTCGCTTGTCGTTAAAATTCTGACAAATTTAGCAGCGATTTGCATTAAATACAATTCTTCGTTGATTTTTACATTGATTCTTTTCTAATTTACATTGGTATTAAGACTACGCGGAGAATAAGAAGTATTTTTTCCTGAAACGGTAGGTCATGAAACTCGTTAAAATCGGCGAGAAACGCGTCACCTTTCGGGTCTATCAGCTTCCGGTTTGTCCATGTAGTATCGAATGAAGGCTCTTTCAGCGTCCTCGCGCTCTTGTGACGATATCACGCCACCGCCATTTAACGTTTCCACGTTTGGAAGTCTGGCGATTAACAGTTCTCTCCTTTCGTGTTCCGTGTACTCTCGAGGACTCTGTAACGAAAAAAGAACAATTTTTGTTGCTGTTTTGCTGCTCTACAGGATGATACATAAAGTGCATGAATTAGCGGTGTACAAGGTTTTCAGAACATTTACCTCGAAAAGAGGACAGCCCTGAATCCTCAACGACTTCAGCGCCGGGAATCTGGCCAATCTCTCCACATCGTCCCAAGTGGACAAAAGGGTACCATTCACATTTAGGAACCTAAGTTTCCTAAAAGGATCGTGGGAGGACTTAATGGTGGTGCCACTGGACTCTGATTCTGACTCGGACCTATCGTAGTTGACCTTCACCTCGCTGAATATCCTGTTACCTTTCTCGTCTACGGTATTCTCTTCCACGTCCACGTTGTTCATGTTTTCGTTGTCCTGGCTAAGGTTCTCGGTCTCTTTCTTCGAACACGTCTCCTCGTTCGAGTTCCTATTATCCACAAGGGCCAACGACCTTATCGGACACTCCGCGAGCACCAGACTCTCCAGGTTCGGGAAGATGTATCCCAGCTTGGAGATCTCGTTCCATACTTCAACGGGATTTCCAGTGAAGTGGAGCTTTTTTAGCGAATCGTTACCGTTCTCTGACTTCTGATAGTCCAGGTCGACCGTCTTGTATTCGTTGAGGGAGAGGTGAAGCTCCTCGAGATTACGAAGGAGCCGAACGAGTCCTTGGACCGTCGACCAGGAGACCCTGGTACCGTTCAAAACTAGATTCTTCAACAGATCATAACTACCGTGCTTGATCTCAAGAACTTCCGCCAGACAATTGAAACTCAAGTTGACAAACTTGATCTTCGGCATGTGTTGTAGAATACCGAACACCTCCGTCCATTGGGACAGCTTGTTTTGCGCTAGATCGAGTTCCTCAACGTTTTTGCATTTATTGCGAAGCTTCTCCGCGTCGTTCCCCGCCGACTCGATGTCGCAGTCTTGTAACACCAGTAACGCCGGCACCGTGTGACGGGGTGACTTCTTAGGTATGAAGATGCTGACCGAGAGGGCGGCCTTCGGCGAGCTCGACTCTGTCTCCTCGTCCGTCAGGGAGCAGTCGGTCGTTGAACTACCGTACTTAAGCTCCAGCGCTTCCAACAACGACGGCATGTTTACTGCATTCTGAAAGCAACCATACGTCAATTTTATACTTTCCATAATGGATCTGTTTCTGTTGAAACTACGGTAACATAGAAACATTGGATACAGGAACTATCATAGTAGCATCGATTTTTATGCCTTACAAAACAACACCATTGGCCAGAACTTCAAAGCATCATCGACTAACAAAGAAGAGACAAAGAAGAGTCTGTGAGTGATATTCACGCAAGGTTGCTTTTGTCGCTGGCAAAGGGTACAAGAAAAAGAAAGGGGCAACAGAGGTAAAAAGAAAGTACGCGGATCGAGGATCCTCGAGGACGACGTCGAACGCGGAATATCTTGTCTGACCATATCCGTTAAGGTCGCGGTATTGTCTTTTTGCGCCACGAAAAACCGGTACCGGTTCCCCTGTTGACGTTGGAAAACCATTCCACAGCCGAACGAGCTTCACCCACGCAGTTATTCTATGCTCTTTTGTATCTCGTTTCATTCGTTTCTCCAGGTACTCTTTGGGATACTTTAACATCAACCTCCTAAATCAATCCTGCGTATACCATCATCGGTTAGATACCCCCAGCTATGCTGTGTGATCGAGGAAATCATTTTTGCAAGCATAGATAGCGCATAAACCGATTTGAATGTTAGACTTTCACTGTGTTAAAGGTTAACAATACGGAGTGTTTCAAGAACGGTGTACGAGAGGCGATTCTAGGAAGACTCGGTCAACAGGTGATCGTGTCTGTATCTTCTACGTCAGACGATTCGTAGAAGACGATACCCAATGAAAGACAACGCTAAGAGGAACCAGGAATCGCGCGAATGGAATGCGGTAGACGGTTTTCACGCGAAAAATCCTACAAGTTAAAAGCGCAGCGGTGCAACGAACCAAGACGAGGGCGATTACGGATTATCGTTCGGACAACGCGGACGAGAAGGGAACAGTTGCGTCAATTTGGCATAGATCCTACGTGCCAGTGAAAAACGCGTTCGCGATTCTTGGACATCCGCCAACCAGTGTCCTTTCTATTTATCACGAAACCGTAGTTCGTAATACGAGGCAGCAATAGGAATCTCTCGCTTTCTAACGGTGATTTTATATCGTTCCAGCCGCGTTAAAGTATACGTTGTACTGAAAGACAAGAGTATCCTTTCGTTGGGGGACGCAACGGGTTTCATCTCCACTGGAAAATCGGAACAAAGAGGAGTCTCGTTGGGTGATCGACGCTTGGCAGTGGACCCCGGCATAATAGTCGTTGCATTACTCCCTTGCTTCCCCTACACGTAATCGCGATATCGGTTCAACGGCCATGCGAAATTAACTTTCTCCGTGCACGGGTCTGCCTAAGAGAAGCCCGACTAGAAACAGCTCGTTGCATCGTGTTGCTGCTGCATACTATGTAGAAGCCTAGCGATGTTACTCCAGTCGATTCAATCTGGTTTCAATCCTGGATGCTCGGTTAACCGGTTTCCTATCGACCGTTTCATTAACCCTTGCGGTTCACGCGTCTTTTCTAGCCATATGCTTAATTATCCTGCTCTCCAAAATACTTGTGAAATTTCCAACTTTCCATATACAAAGTCTTCTTATTCATGGTCACTACGATTTTATAACTTTCAACTATCTAACAAGAATATGCGGAAACGCATCCCAAACTACCGAAAAGGGGGAAGATTATTGTATTGTATTATTATTATTATTATTATAGTAAATAATCGGTAGCTCTTACAAAAATGAATAATTACCTAGAAGTCTCGAAAACACTGAACGACGTAACTGTTTTGATAAATCTTGAAGTACTCGAACGATTCTAAAATTGAACCATGTTGCTCAAGCATTTGGAACAGAAATTTTGAATAGCCATCGTGTTACAACAGGTCGATACGATTAGCCGGACGGTGTATGTTGAATGATGAGGAAATATTGGAAGGTCCTTCAGGATGATTCCTTTTCGATGGAAGAGTAGGAAGATAGGTCAGGAACAAGGCATTTGTCCACCCGAAGTCTGAAATTACATTCAAATGTTAGAAAGTATAAAAATATGTTTCTTCAAATTGACAGTACGTAAAATAATGGTTAAACTTCGTCTTAGGGGACCAAAAATTAACGAGTCCAAAATATGTGTTCTTGTAGTTTTTGACCTGAAAAGTCCGAAAATGCAAGTTAAAAGTCCAGGAAACCAATAGTTTAAAAGATACGAGTATATAAAAATGTGTGTACTTGGCGTACTTTGACAGGACAGTACGATGTCACATTGACTCTTCCCCGCATCCAATCCTTTGTTTGGACTCTATTTGTTGGGTGTGAGTACCTTCAGTTCCTATCAAATCCGAGGGGATATTGTTTATAAAAAAAAAAAAACTTAACCTTAGGTATACCAGGTTTAGGCCACCACTTATATAATTCTGTTTTACCGACGGCGACTCCACTCATTGGACCAAATGGCGTCGTACTGACCTGTCAAAGTACGCCAAGTACACACATTTTCATGTACTCATATCTTTTAAACTATTGGTTTCCTGGACTTTTAACTTGCATTTTCGAATGTTTCAGGTCAAAAACTATAAGATTTGATACTTTTCATCCAGAAATTTTTGGTCCCCCAAGACGAAGTTCAGCCAAAATAATTGTAATCAAATTACACAATGCGTTTGGTTGCATCACGAGACTGCAATATTTGTTAACTGTACTAACATCGGACGGGGTAACAATGCTAAACACGAATAGGCTACTTTCTCCTTGGCTGATGATTTTACGCGCCAACTATTCGTAAAACCGACGGTACAAATTGAATTGAAAATTCTGGATGAAACCGGTTCGATCGCGGAAATAAACAAAGAGAAAGACGAAGGTGAAGTTTCGATGGAAAACAAGTTTAGAGAATTACTTTTACAATCGTTACAGAAGTTAGGTCGCGCAAGTGGTTCAAACAGCTGACTATTCATCGACTTCCGGTGTAGTAGCGCCGGTTCAACGATATCAAACAAATTCACGGGTTGCCGGGTGCGCAGGGGCAACGCGTGTAGCTAAATATACGCTGCCACTGACGATTACGAAATGTCAAACAGAAGCAGCCGACTACTACTGGGTCAATCGGAAAGCTGGGATATTTTGCAAGCGCGTCTTGTATGAATCAATCAATTTCGAGTGGAAAATAAAATCGTAAAACAGTATAAAGGAAACTAGTTTGCCGGATTTTTCATTCTTCGAGCAGACCGTGATATTGCATTACTCTTTCGTAGCTCAAGGACTTAGAAAGTTATTGCGAGATATGAAGCAGAAAACTTGGAGGCCTCTCGACCATTTTCCACTATAATTCTCCCCTAATCATTTTAGTTCAAGTTCTGGAGGCTAACAAAAACTGATAAACGATACTTTCTAACTTGAGGCTGAAATAAAACTACGTAGGAATCTTTAACCCATTAATACTCAAAGTTGTACTATATAACTCGATAACTTGTACTATATAACTTTTTGACAATTTTTAATAATAATAATCTTTCCAACAATGTAGTGTTAATTTTGTATCGAATAAAAATGTAACTCTTCCACCTTCTGCTTTACTTTTTTGCGGTCGACGTGTATACACTTCTTTGCTTGAGTTTAATTCCGCATACCGCGAGGAGTTTTTATTCAAACTAAACTCCGCAGTTAAGTGGTTAATGAGTTAACGCGAAACGCGGAGATTTCTTGGTACACGCAGCCTCGCAGGTGTTAACGGAATGAAGATTTCCGTTTGCCTCGAGATAATCAATGATCTATTCTTTCCCCGTTACCAATATGTATAGTCGGCAGAAGTAAATATCGACGAAAGTCCGGTGGCCGTATGCTGCGCAAATGCTCTCCTGTCTCGGATTATTACTCGCTTGCCCAAGGTTGCCGTTCGTTCTGCTCACGACCCGAGCATTATGCACGTGTATAGATGTATTTGCCACGCACTTACAGAGACACACCTCTACAGTGGTGCATTTACGATACACGCATAGATCTACCTCTCTAATGTATATACCACGTAACCGCAGGGGGGATACATGTTAGCAGCGTTTCCCAACCTTTTTCTTTGCTTAATCTATCAATTACGCGTAACGCGTTTTACACGATTAATCACCGTTTAAATCGCATACAACTGCGTCATAATCATCGAATGATTCAAGGTTTGAAAAATAAGGATTATCGTTAACCTACGCTTTTTACTTTTCGAGACATTGATTTACCGCAAAATTGGTAAGCGCTGCGCACGTATTCTTTGTTCGTTTCTCGGTTTTTGAGAGCGTGTCTCACATGGATGCACGGCAATTACATCTACATATGTTTCTGTGAAAGTCGACAAGAGATACATTGAACACCGTTCGCTACACAAAAGTGCTAGCCTCGTCCGTATTATACCAGGCCTCTCCCTTTTGAACTGAGGACGCTTCACCGACGCGACGATGGTTTGCTTGCACTTCATCGGATCAACGATTTAACACGATCACATCGACCCTTTGTCAATTCTTGCAGACTGCAGAGTTACCGTTTCGAATAGATCAATCGATGGATAAGTTTCCGAACACCAAAATTGAGAACTCAGGTTCGGTATATAACTTAAATTGACTACCAGAAACCGATTAAAATTGGTTTCAGAGCTGGATGTTTTACCGTTTTTCAGATATCGTGGTAAGAAATTTTTGTACAATTTTGGGACTACGTACGCGCTATTCCATACTGCGCATGCGCTCTTTAATACTGCGCATGCGCTCTTCAATACTGCGCATGCGCTATTCGATATGCACATACACAGAACCTAACCAAACCTAACTTAACCTTACCACGATATCTCGAAAACGGTAAGACATTCAGCTCTGAAACCAACTTTAATCGGTTTCTTGTAGTCAATTTAGGTTACATACCGAACCTGAGTTCTCAATTTTGATGGAGCCATTCGGAAACACGGTCCAATCGATCGATACTATGCTTCAACTAATTTTAATATCCTTCCTTTTTCTTTGTTTTCCCTGAAAAATGCCTATTCGAAAATAAATCAGAAAGTTAGCTATACGCATCATAGAAGAATAGACGTCCGAACACGCGGCATGCTTTCTAATCATTTATTTATAAGAGTATTTTTGGCATCGAAACACGCCTACTGTAACTATAAACGTTACAGAAGCGTTATTCCCGGCGTAAAATCCCTTTTTCGTTTACACAACCTGCGTCTTCCGCAAACGTTCCATCTAAAACGGTTCGATCCGATAAAAATGCTCCGAAGAAAGATTTTCCAATGAACGCTGATCTTGTTGAAAGAACTTTTCATTTCTTTGCCGGAAGAAAAATCAATCGATCGTACTCGAATGACCGTGATAACGATGTCGCAATATAAATCGGATTTATCTAATCAGTTTTACAATGCAACATGTACAGTAAGACGTCAAGCATTGCTCTTTCGTAATAACTCGATGAAACGTTGATACATGATTTAAAAAAAATAAAAAAAAATAAAAAAAATGAAAAGTAACTTTCCAGGAAGATTGCAAATTGAGACGCGCCATTTGAAACTGCATAAATTTTGCGCTTCTTTATGTTCGAACGAACGTGTTAAAAGTACTGTACTTTCAATTGTGTTGGCCTTGAAGTTAGTAGACAAGGATCGACGCAATTCTCACGATTCGTGACTCTTTGTTCCAGCTTCTTTTACGCTCTATTATCGTTCAGCTTTAACGTTACGTGTAATACATTCTGAAAACTATTACAAACGTTCATACTATCATGCTGCCGTTAATAATGTCTTACAAATTCAATTTTCAATCGTTCAACCTTCATCTGATCTACGCGTCTGCTGAGAAAAATGAATTCCTGAACAACGTTCAAATATAACCTAATAACTGATGAACCATCACTTTCATTGCCGATAAATTAGACATCCCTTTAACATACTATAAAGGAGAGTTTAACAGATTTTGAATTACATGTTAATAAAGATTACGTTGAAAAATAGTACTCCATGAAAAATGCATCGTGATAAAAATATGACGCTACCAGCTGTCAAAGCGCGCTGCTTTAGAAGCGTAAATTGTGCGCGCACAGCTGATGGCGATTATGTAAGGCTTGAACGCACAACGCGTAGGAAAATATGCTTCAGTAGCAAGAACCCGTGAAATCATAGGAAAATTTCAAAGCAATTCGATTACTCCAAAACGGAGTACGACGTATTTAATATCTTTGCTACCAGGATCGTACCTCTGGCGCGTCCATTAACTAGGTTTCTCGGTACACCACAACCACCTAGACCGATAATTTAATTTCTGGTTCTTTAATCAACGTCCAGTGGAAAATTTCGCGTTACATACTCCTAAAAGAACAACGTTCATTGTACGTTCATCGTGGTGCTAGGTTGGATCGATTAAGCACAAGTTCAGAAAGACCGAACGGGAAAAAAATGAAGACGTAGTATAAGAATATCGCGAAAGAATCGGGTCAAGGATTGTCTTGGCTCTGGATAACGTATACAATCGTGTGTATTTAAAGCTCGATGTTACAGGTACTCACTGTTTCATCCGTTTTATTTCACGCTCGTTCCTCTGATACTTGTGTACGTATATCCCGTGGTCGACGAGGCTACAAAGAATATCCTGGTTCGGTTGCACTCGCGATTTTTACCTGCGATCACGAAGCGAGATCGGTTTTATATTGGTTGATCGAAGAGGTTAGGTAGAATGTGGTGTCGCGTACGGACACACAAACGTGCCGCTCGCCGTCCACCGTTGAACTGATTTCTGGCTCCTTTGTTTAGTAAACAGAAACAGCTGAGTTGCGCTTCTGGTTATGGTTGTAGAGGTGGCGGGAGCTAACTCCACTATTCCCGCACAACGCCGAAGGTAATGCGCATGCGCGTTTCTTGTCAGACTGGTCACGTGAGCTTAGGCGTTCAGCCAATCGTAGAATCACATCCCGCAATAGCGCGTCGCCGTATTACAATTTTGTGTTAAACAATATCATGAATAAACAATATTTAAACAGCATACATGAATGAGTTATTTAAATTACTTGAAATACTTAACAATTGTTCAAATTTAATTAATTAAACAGATGTTTTTTATGATACTTGTCACGTTGCTTGAATAATTCAATTAGGGTGCGGTAGGAATTTCAGTGTCAAGGAAGAAGAAATCAATTAATGCAATGAACAAGAATTTCTAAGATGATTAAGATCACTTACGAAACGTGCATTCGTAATTTATCAATGACACTAGTATTACAAAATTTCGTTAAAACTTGAATATAGATAAGGATGTATTAGAATCTTCTGCTTTAAAATCCACGAGCATGACTAAAAAAAAATTAAAAAATAAAGATGATGAGCGGAGTATTGATGATGTTTCTTTTGAAAAATCGATGCATTGTTAACCCAACTTTGTCGCTTAAACAATTTTATATTATTTATTGATACATAGAATTTATCAATAATACCTTTAGCTAACAGTGTTACACTTGCTTTTGTCTAATTTCTCGAAAGTTGTCATTTTCTCGTTTCTCATTTGCGAAATTATAATACATACATATACGAAGAGAAACTCACTCCTTTCGATCGGCGCCTCCCCCTCTCTCTCGCTCTTCCTTTTATCATTTTGTATACATCGCATTGATTACTATTAGATCACAATTACAGATCATACATACATGTTTAATTACACATTACGACATTACATACACGTGTTCCTGTATATATATTTATATATTTATATATTTATAAATTACAGATCGGAGATTAGAGGTACGTGTACCGTACCTCCATTTTTCAGGGAATGTTTCGAAACTCTCGATCATTAATTGCTTACCATTATTTCGAGACTCGTTGCTGTCAGAAATATTCAACTTATTCACAACGATCAAAACGAAACATTTTATATTCTGTGTCCTTCTTCATTTCAACTGGTCTTATAAACTTTTCGAGATTGAGATTCGCGTCCGCAACGTTAATCCTTAACGGAATTAAAAAAAAATATTTGTTAACCACATATCGAAGCACTCACCGAAAAATAAAACAGTTTCGATTTTCTCGAAGAATCGATGGTGCTAAATGCTATCGTTTTTTACCAAGTACATATCGACACTATGTTCTTATTCGTTGATATATCAGGTTATTGCGCGTGGTAAAGAAATTAAATTTGGTCGGCTAACGATCGAAAGAAACAACATAAATAAATGAGTAAGTAATTTTGAATTGTTTAACTAAAATATCGAGAAAATTTGGTACAAAATTTCACTTTGCAGCTATTGATAAAAAGCTTGATGGACGAAATTATCGATCGATCTGTCATGGTGGGCGACGATTACACGGGAATAGTGATGTGTAGCCCGACTAATGTGTCGGGTACCCGACTAGTCGGGGCGGTTCGGAAAACATCGGGTACCCGCACATACCCTACACGGGAAGCGAAAATGCATCTTCAAGGGGTTTGTGTTCCTTCGTTACTCGTTCCATACAACAACGGACGTTCTTTTTTAAATTCTAGTAATTAGCGATCTTAGCGTGACACATAAACTGCATCTTTACAGAGCCTCTTCACCTGTACAGAACATTCGCTTCTTTTCTTTCTTTTTCTCTTCTTGCTTAATAATAATAAGATCAACAACGACACTACTAATATTTTCTTTACAATTAATCGTTACAGATTTCAGTTAACAGGATTATATCTAAAGGCTACGCAGCTTAATAATAATCATACGCATGTAAAGGAATAAGTTTTCGCAAAGTCAGGGATGATATCTATAGGAGCAACAACAAATGGAGGTCGTATATGTTAATATCTACCTTACCGACTCTTTTTAGCCCCAGTAACATCCTATCGAAAGCAACTGCACAGTGTTCGAACACAATAATATGTCTACCTAATAACTTAAAATTTTCTAGGTAAAGGATGTAGCAGGATAAGATGGTCAAAAGTGCCCTTGAGCCGATTTTATTGAGCTATGCAGCATTTAATAGCTTATTAAAGAAAACCATTATGTATACACCAAGTTTCAACCCTGTATCTCAACCGGAAGGGTAGTTAAAAAATTTGAAAAAATTCACAATTATAAAGAAACATATTTAGAATATTCTAGAATTTTTTCAGATTTTTTGAATACCAATAAATAGGGAAAATATGGCAAGAAGCGTTTTTTCGATTTTACCCTCTAACTACCCTTCCGGTTGAGGCGTAGGGTTGAAACTTGGTGTATAATGGTTGTTTTTAATAACCTATTAAATGGTGCATAGCTCAATAAAATCGGCTCAAGGGTATTTTTGACCATCTTATCCTGCTATACCATTTCCATGATTATTTTAAACAGAAGATCAATCTCTGACTCGTATCTTTCATGATTATGGTTTATAATTCTACCACTGGTCGACAGATCTAATTATGCTTTCAATTAAGGAACCAGTAAGTGTACAAAATCTGTTCTTTTTTTTTTAGGCAATGTTCAACCGAAATCTGATATACCGTAAGACTAAGATTTAATTAAAACAATCAATTTATCCTCTCTTAAAAAATGAAACTCGAATTACAATCTCCTCGAAGTGGCAAAACGACCTCTCCTTTACTTCTCTTTCTCTTTCGCACAATCGCACGGTTTTTAATCACACTTGAAGAAACATCGGTAGGCTTGCTGGCAATGCACATATCCTCTAATTTAAATACCTTTCCTAAGATATCTATACATGCATCGTGTGTTTAAATGAATCTTCTCTTTTTTAGATACACAAACGCCGCCTTGGATATCCCAAGATAACGCGATATTACACGTAATTGAGATCACGAGCTGGAAACGTCATATCCTGGGTCGAACTTTTCGCAGGGAAAGTTCCCTCGGGACTTGTTTAATGTACCAACGTAAACAGACCATCATGCCGCAGATCGAAAAGTTTTGCGCTGTTTCAAAGAGCGGAATACAATATTTATATATCATACAGCCTTCAGCAGTATTTTTTCTATCCGGTGCAACTAAGTTGTATTGTCTGACACGATTCGATGGATCGTTTGACCAAGCGCGTTTTCAGAAAACGCGCGCTCAAAGATTTAAACTAGTGAATCTGTATTCGCATTGACACGGATCAGAGCAACAATCGACATTATTAATTAATAGCTCTAATTATCTATTACTTTAGTTGGCATATCTCGGTCGACATTACTGAACGTCGTTGATTCAATCGATTTAGCTCCTAAATAGACTTAACATTAACGTATGACTGGTGTAAAACCTGAATGGTCATACGATCTTCTTACGTGCTAAGGACTAGAATAGACTCTTCTGATCTCCTTTGCAGGAGGAAAAATGTGAAACAAAAAATCGGTAAAACCTCAACGGAAACTTACGTGGCTAAGTTTTTCGTTCTTATAGAATAATCTTACCTTATCTGCAGATAAATACACACTCGTTTCACTTAATCTAACCGCGGGAAATTTCGATTAATCAACATTACTGCTATATTCTCGACAAATTAAAACGCGAAACTGAAACGACTGTACAGGATGTGCGGCTATGGATGAGCATCCTTAAACTATGCCCACCTATAATTGAACACCCTGTATACGTCATTAGATATATCATTTGCAAAGCGCTCAAATAAATTAACGACTAGATTTCTCACACTTCCATCAACACGCATTCTCGAAACAGGCAAACTTTGATTAATTATCGTCTACTTACGTGCTTAATAACCGTCGATTAATGTCAATAAACTAACTCTTAAAAACGACTAGATAACATTCGATATAGATCATCTGCAAGCTCAAAACGATACGATACGCGGGTACGATCCTTCGAATTGTAACGAGTCCGTTCAATTAACAACTATTGTCCTCCGATCGTCGTGTTGTTGCGATATCCACTGTGTCGAAAAAATCTCCGTACACTTTGTTAATGTTCAGTTACCGTATTGCGCGTAATTTTAACACAGAAAATAATAAATAAATAATATTTACATTATTTTATATATTTATAATGATAAATACTATGAAATACTGTAACTATTATGATTTAACAAAGTGTACAGATATTTTTCTGACTGATTGTATAACAATTATACTCTTAAAAATGTTGTGAAACATTGAAATAGCTTAAACCAGGGGTGGGCAAATAGCGGCCCGCTAAGAGTTTTTTTGTGCCCCACCGTCAGTCAGAAAAATCCGCCTTGAACCGAGATTTCCTTCTCTCGTATTTTCCCCTAGGACAATTTATGGTGCAATTTATACCTTTCTGAAATGCAAAGTTAATTAATGAATATAATCATTTTAAAAGATGCGGCCCTTCGCTAACCACGGCTTCCATAAAGTGGCCCCCGAGCCAAAACAATTGCCCATCCCTGGGTTAAACGAATGAAAAATTCTGATAAATTAATTCAGAATAAGAAAAATTTCACATAAATAATATAACGCTCTAAACAATCGGGAATCTAAAATGTAAAATAATAAAATGTCTATTGTATATCCGTCTTTGAAACATGCTGCCCGCAGCGCAAAGCCTTTCGCTGCGAGTGCGTATAACTACTTATCAAGCTAGACTGAACGTAAAATCAGTATTGTCCACCCTTATAAATTATTCGTTTCATATGTATATCTCTCTTTAACTGTTACATGAACAACACACGGCGACAAGCGTTTCGTGGGTCACGAAACGAGCGAAACAACGCGAACGGTATCCTGCGGTATAGTTTTGCCAAGCGAGAACGAAAGCCAAAGGCGGAGCTTTGCGTCACGGAGAAGGATTAAAAGCGTAAGTTGGGATAGAAATTGTCATCGATACAACTAGAAACATACTCGATATCGACGTTGAGGCCTGTTTTATATCCTTCATAGATCTAAAATTGCATGCTGTACGTATGCTAAAGAGGGAAAGTAGCGGTGGGAAAAAGGTTCTTCCTTCCTGAAGAGGAATGATCTCCCAACGCATGCGTAATTAGAATAACACTCCCACTTGGCACAGCTATAAACTTTGTAATACTGATGTGCGTTTGAAGCTACAGAAAATCACATTCTTGAAATGATCCATGACCCGCAAAACGCATCGTGCGTCGAGTCACAGGCATCGGTTTCTTTCTTTCTTTCTTTCTTTTTCTGTATATACTATTAGCAAGCAATTTTCTTTATCGTCTTATAAGACTCTCGTTAGTTTAGTTTCGTAACATCTTAACCCGTTACCTTACATACAGACAGCGAAGATTAATCGGAGGAATCCGAATCGGACTCGGCACCCGCGTCTGAGACTTCACTCGGTGCCTCCGTTGTTGTCTCTGGGATCTTCCTTGTAAACGTCGCCGCTACGTATGCTGCTGGTCCTTCGCCTTGAGTGTGCTCGATTCCAACCCTAATTGACAGTTGATGAGAAAATTTATTTTCTTGAAATATTAATGAATGCTTCAATCGTAAATGGATTATGTTGACGAGTGGACCATCTACCATTGTAAAGAGAAAATTCAAGTTTTCTTCTTCTAATTATTAAAACTCCTTACCGTACCATTTTCTCAGCATTTACTTCTGCCAAAGCTAACTAATCACTGCTATAATATTGAGGCAAATCAAGGAAATTGGTTGTGCAAATTCTAATTGAAATTATCTATTAAATTATTTCTAATTTAAATGCAACCGAGATTGGGACCCAGTGGTTGCATTTATCCAAGCGAGGTGTCGAATCTCGAGTTACACGCGACGACCAGCCAAGCGTGAACGTAGAAAGGGACAGACAGTGGCGAAAAGCAAGAGAGATCGAAATCAAAACCAGTCGCGGTGTCGGCTCTGGTTTCAAAGGTTTCATTTATCCAGGCGAGGTGTCGATTCTGGGCATTCAATGTTGCATTTATCCAGGTTTTACTGTACAACAGTTCATGTTAGAACTGAGTCAGACTCGTCAAAGTACGGCAAAAGGTTAAAGAAGAGCCTTATCTAAAAAGGACGTACCTGTACTCGTGTCGGGACAGATTTCTAACATACTTCTCTGGTGGAGCGTCGCTGTCAGTGTTTTGAAGGCTGACACTTCTCGCGGTGGTGTGAGACACTTGGGTCGCAGGCATCGTAAATTCAACGTAGCAGTACTCGGCGAGATTCTCAGGGATTTGGTCGTACGAGGTAAGAGCCATGCGGCAGATCAGTTGATGTGTCGTGTACGCTCCTAAAGATAGTAGGTTTCAATTATAGTATGTTAACAGCGAACTGAAGGAATCAAGAGGAATTACCTTGGCCCTCCTTCGGTAACCTGGGCATCCTCCAAACGATAGCACGATGTTGATGCTCGTATTTAGCCTGACCCGAGGTAACTTCCATCAGTTGCGGTTCCAGTGTGTCCACCGCCCCAAGGAACCTCTCTATACCTTTGATCTTTCCAGTTCTTCTATGAGCCGACTTGACGGACCCGTACCTAAAGTGTTTCTCGACTCTGAATAGATAGATCCAGCACTCTGGAATCGGAAAACGGACCATTACGTCCTCGCAGGGCACTTGTCCTAGTTTCCTTGACGCGAATCCAGGCACAAGGATGTCTGCCTTCAACTCTACCTGCCAGCCCAAAGAACAGGAGGTTCAGATTACAAGGATATAACGCAACACTAACAAGTGTGAAAATATTGTTCTTGGAAAATAGGAGAGAAAGCGATGTTACCTTGTTACCCGTAACGCACATTACGGCTTTAAGCTGAAGAGGAAGTTCCCTGTTTTTAGGTGGTCTTACTCGGAACCTCATGAGTTCGATATAGCATGCATCTGGTGGTTTAAACCTTCGAACGGGGTTAAGGGGGTGTTAATTAGCGTTAGTTTGTTAGTACAGTTAAAACTCTGTTACGAAGACTAGTTAAAGGACGTACTTTATGATTCTAGACTTTTCGTATTCATCCTGCTGGACACACGCGTGGAACTCTACGTTCTCCAGACGAATCCATTCTTCGGTCACAACTGGAATGATGTCGTGTCTACCCACTACTTCTTTACCCTGACGCCACATGTCATTTATTCCCAGCTCGACGTCAGGCATGCCTGGAATAATTCAATGAACGATCCATTACACTTCCAGCAACCCTGGCTGCGATGGTGCTACGAGTACTTACCAGAAAGGAAGCCCAAGAAAAACAGTCGAACACGAGCTATCTGCTTCTCAACGATACCCTGAGCACTCTGCTCGACATAGAGCTCATCTACTACTGTTATTTGCACCTCTTCCATCTTGTAATGCAGCGCTCTATCTCTATGAGCATTTAGTCTGAACAGTGCTTCCTCGACTACGCAGGAAAATTGTTTCATGTCTTCGAAACATTGGGAACCGAGCTTGAACAGCTGGGAAATCTACGGGAAGATTCATTTCCTCGTGACAGTTCTATGATAATAAGAAACTTCCTAATACAAGAAGGAAACTCTACCTGTGGAGCATGTTCAACGGGAAGTCCTAACTTCTTCAAGTCACTTCCAAATTCTTTCACCCCCTGATAGTCACCCTGAATGGCATAAGCAGCAAACTGACTCAGTTTATTGGTAAGTCTCTCCGCCTTGGTCACCTGACCAGGTCGAACACCAGGTCGTTCTTTGTAGAAAATGTACTGTAGCTTCACCGTGAATATCTTTCCGAATTGGTCAAACTGTTGTGCTCCTATGTCGGACACCGAGTAAGAGGGTACTAGGGGTAACTCTTGGAAGGGATCCTTGTCATCTCTGCTGTTAAACAATTGAAGTACAGGATTATCGCCTTGGTAAACCAACTTGACGAAGATCTTCTTCCAGAATCTCTGGCCAGTTATCTTCTTCTTGTTAGGTTGACGTAGATGCATCTCCCAACCGTCACCGGTGTACGTCACTCTTGGGAAATCCTCTAAAGGTTGACTGACGTCTTCGTCGAACAGAGGTGTTGGTGGAGTTTCCTGAAGTTAAGTTGTCCCAGTTTTTTATACTCTGTACTAATGACCGTTAAAGTACTATAGATTATGTATAAAGTACTACCTGAGAATCTGTTCTTGTCAGTTCCGCTGGTTGAGCTGTTTCTGTGGTAGGGATGGCGTCCTGTGCAGATCCAAACTTGTCAAATGGATTAAATCGAGGCGAGGTATCGGTGTAGGCTGTGTTTTGAGGACTCTTTGGCGGTGGGGCCAACGCGGGTACCACTCCACCCTCTCCAGTCGCAGCCTGTTCATCTTCTTTTGGTCTTAAGGAATACCATAAACGTTAGTATACAAGGCACGAGTGCGCAACTTCGAGATTAAACCGTCGATGCTCACTTGATGAATACACTGAAATCTGGACCCTCGTCCGATTCTGCAGATTCGGTTCTTTTCATCCTCGGTTCCGGTGGAGGAGCAGTCATGCTTAAGAACGAGTCGAATCCATCAGCTTCGCCGAAACCAGCGGTTGCTGTTTCTGATCCGGCTGCAGACGAGTCTCCCCAAACTGTGAACGGTATACAATTAGTAACAAGTTGCTCGAAAATATACTTCAATTTAATTTACCATCACTGGACGTGTCCATAGCAGTTGGTCCACCTCCGAAGGCATCCATAAACGGATCACCCGAGTTAGTCTCCGACTCTGCAGCCTTATCGAACTTCGAGGCGAAAATATCGAATGCATCGCTGGTGTTTTCGATAGCTTTCGTGGTGGCCGCAAAGTTGTCCAGTTGCTCCTCGGGTTTGTAAGCTTCGCTAGTGGGAAACTCTGCACCAGGAATCGGACTGGTCGACCTTACTCCACTGGTGTCCTGGGCAGATTCGCCGAAATCGCCAAGCAAGTCCGTTGCAAACGGCCCGCTAGACTGCGTAGAAGGTGCGCTAGTCACGATTGGCTCCCTCGTGGCGATCGCAAACGGTACGCACACACTATCTGTCACTGGAAACGGAGCAGAAGTAGTCGTTTCCGCCATCGAGAAGAACGCGGACACTGTCGTGGTGGTGGAAAACTGGTCCATAGCGCTCGAGGCGAATAATTCGTCAGCTGTGGTGGCATGTTGAGTTTCCGTGACAGCAGCTTCGGTTTCGCTGCTAAAATCTAAGTCGAGAGCAGTCTTGGTGTCGGGTTCAGAGCCAACCACCACTGTCGTAGAAGCGATGGAGGGCCTCTTTTCGCTGGTTACAGACGCGGTTTCTGGATAGTCCGACTTAAAATCATCATCCTCCTGATCGGTGGTCGCTTCCTGATCCGTCATACTGGCGAATGGATTATCCTGGACGGCGGTGGTGTTAGCGACTTCGGCGTCTAAACTGGTAGTATCCGCGGTGGTCATCGGAGTGGAGAAAATAGTAGTGGTGGTCGTGTCGGTATTGGGGGCATCGAACAAGTCTAGGATATCCTGATTCTGTGACGGTTCTACCCCTTTGCTGTCGTCGGACATCAAGTCTGGGATATTCGAGTCGACGTCCAAGAGGTCCGCGAAGCTGTGCTCCGGTGTAGGAGATGGAGAATGCATCAGGGTAGGACTGGGTGTCCTCGTCGCCTGCGATAAACAATTAAATCAGACTAACCGTATGACATTCTGCATTTCATAAACAGGGCCAGGAAACGAGAGGACGTATACAGACCTGTAATCGATCCAGAAGATGATTCGAAGTGGCGTCCATTGCCCCAGTCACGGACAAGATCAGGTCTTTGGTGTTCTTAGGAGGTGCTGGGGGTTGAGGCCTCGGTGGAGGCGGTCTCGAAGGTGCTGGTTTCCCATTCTTCGCTTGAGCTGGTGCCGGGGCTGGAGGGGCTGGTGCGGCTGCAGCTTGATCAAAGATTTCCTGCGACGGTTGCGCGGGGGCTTCTGCCTCGAACAGATTCCTGCTGGATTCACTGGTCGTGACAAATATGTTTGTTCCTTGCTCAGAGAATATGTTGGCGGAGGAGGTATCGGTGGTGGTTGTGGTGGTGGTGGTTTCGAAGCCGGTGCTCGGTGCGGTGGTATCCGTGGTGAAAGAGGCAAAAGGATTGGTCGAGTCGACGGTGATCGTCGACTGGTACGACTGATCCCCGCCAAAGTTCAGGAACGGATTCTCTCCGCCAGCAGGTGGCTCCGTGTCTGTGAAATCCTGCAGGAAGGGGTTTGAGATTTGTCCGGACATGGTGTCGTTCGTGCCGGTTCCGTCATCGTCCATTAAGAACGGATTTCCTCCTTTGGAATCCATGTTGATCGAAGGTTAATTGACTAACTTTAAGCGTCTCCTGCGCAATTACTTTCGTGAAAGGCGTTAGCGAGTCTTTGGAAGGATATTTAAAACGAAACTTCTACTGCTCCATCAATTCGGACTCTAATAGTTTAAGCTCGGTCTTTCCTGGTCCAATGGTAGCGAAACTGGTGTCGAAAGGATCCACTTCCTCGTCTAAACTAAAGCTCTCGTTCTGTACAGGGGTGAGTACCTTCGCCCCGGGATCTTGGTCGTCGATACACAAGAAGTCTTTCGATTCCTTCCTCTCCTCTGCCCTGGGATCAAAGTCGTCTATCTCTGGAACGGTGCTGCTGACGATTGCCGTCAAAGCGATGCTTGCCGGGCGTACAGGTATCTCTTCAGGTATTTGTTGCAATTCACTCTCTAAAATCTTTAACTCCGCCTTACCAGGAAGGATATTGGTGGCGATGGAAGTATCGAAGGGGTCCTCGTAAGAAAGTACTTCCTCCTCGATGGGCTTCGCCTCGATTCTAGGGGTAAGTGGCTTGGCGTCTACTTCGATCTCAGCGTCCAGTAAGCTTTCTTGTCTCTTTGGCTGTTTCGGTTGATTCTGCTCTTTGAATTTTTGCAGGCCCGTACTCTGGGCTTCGCTGATCTTCAAGTTGCTGGGCCTAACGGAGCTAGCCGTGAAGTCGCTCTGCCTCCTGGTTGGCTCTACCTCCGCCCTGGGGTCGAAATCGTGATCGCTCAAGCTGTGAGGCAACTTCGTTTCCTGCTTCAACAGTTCAGACTCGATCAACTTCAGCTCAGTTTTTCCTGGAGCTACTTTGGCCACGAAGCTCGTGTCGAAGGGATCCACGTCAACTTCCTCTTCTTCGATGGGCAGACCTTCGTCGATTGACTTTTGGGAGTAATATGGAGTGAGCGGTTTCGAGGGTAACGCTTTTTCTTCTTCGCTGGTAGCGAGGAGATCGGGTCGCTTGGACGGTGTTGGTAGCTCGAAGGCAACCGCCTTGGCAGGGGCTAACTCAAGCACCTCCGGCCTGGATGTTCTTCGTCCACGATCACTGGAGGATTCTAGTGTGGTAGCTTCGTCCTCGTCCTCGCCGAAATCGACTTTGAAAGTTGGTTTAGCTGGCGCAGGTGGAAGAGCTGGCCTCGGTGGAGCGTTGGGAGCTACTGGTTGCTCGTCCTTTCTGGGGTCAAAGTCGTCGTCCTCTAGGGAGCTGGTAAGTTTCGTCTCTTCGCCAAGTAGTTCTTTCTCGAGAAACTTCAGTTCCGTTCTACCAGGTGGAATTTCCTTGACGGCCGAGGTGTCGAATGGATCAACGTAGCTGATGTCTTCAACCGGTGCTATAGGTTCGTCGGTCAGCTGACTGAGATCGGTCGTCGATCCTCCTAAAAGGTCTTTCTTGCCTAGCAAACCATTGCTTCTTATCCCGTTCGCTTCTGTGAGCAAACCACCAGTCTCGTAATCCCTGTTCAGACCGGCAGGATCGGTCAACGATATCGTCACCTCCGACACAGGCAACTCTTCCAATTCCTTTTCGATGAACTTCAACTCAGTCTTGCCAGGAAGGATATTATCGGCGAAAGTGGTGTCGAAAGGATCCTCCTCGTCGACGAAGGTAGCTGCCTCGAAACTAGCTTCGATTATCTCCGACTGGAAGTCAACCGCGTCCGGTCCTTTGCTCCCAAATGGATCTTCAGCCTCCTCGAGAAGCACCGGATCTTCGGGCGCAGAGGTTAAATCAAATTCGGCTTCGTCCAAGTCAGGAATTTCCTCTAAAATGGTCTTCTCCTTCAACACCTCGAATTCTGAGATGTCCAGAGGTGGTCCGTTCGATGGTTCCTTCTCGACGGCGGTGTTGTCCTGAGTAACAGCAGGGCTGGCTGGTCTTGGTAAGACGGGCGGAAGCTTGGTCAGATCCACAGGAATATCCGGAAGATCGTTGTCATCGTCCAGCAAGGTTTTCTCAACCTCGACAGGTGCCGAGACCGCGTTACTGTCCTCCGGTTTCTCAACTTCCTCGAAATCGTCTAACAACAGATCCTGCTGAAGTCTCGGCCGTCTACCTTTCGAGATCTTGCAAGAACTGACATAGTCGATCCTCCCGGAGAGTACCTCGACCGCGTTTCCTAGACTCACTAACTTGTTCCCTTTTCTGTCGACGGTCTTTAGTACCTTGTCCGCGTTGGTGGTGTCGAAAGGGTCGTCTCCTGCCTCTTGCTCGGTAGGGCTGTCCGGAATGTAAGCTAATTGAACGTCGATGTTCTGGAGAACATCCACATAAGTGGTGTCGAATATGTCCTCGTCGCCAGAGTCCTCCGGTTCATCTTCGTCTTCCGGGACATCCACGAAACCGTCCTCGTTCACCAACGGTTTCTCCTCCTTCCTCTTTCCTTTCCCTTCGAAGTCTGGTGGTTCCTCTTCGATTGGATTCCCGTCCTCGTCGAAACCTACCCACTTTTTCGAGGACGATTTCTCGGTCCCCTCTTTATCCTGCTCCTCCTTCTTCTTCTCCTCCTCTAACGGTGGTTTACGTTGAAAAAATGATGTGGATTTGATACGATCTAGATCACCCTGGGTCTTCTTGAGAATCGAATCGACACCGGCTGTTAACGCCTCGAATTTCTTCCACTCGTCGGAGGTGGCGGCGGTGTTGGACTGTTCGCCAGACTGCTCGGCTTTCTGCTGGGCCTCCGCCCGCTCGCGTCTGTAACGCTCGAGCTCCTCCGGATCGAACTCCTCTTCCTCTGCCCCCTTCTTACCCTTCTTCTGCTTTTTCTTCTTCTTCAGGCCTTTGGCTAGCTTGTGCATCCTCTAAGAGCTAACGTGGAACGCGCGAGGCCCCTGGAACCAACCGAATTCCAACGTCAAACTCGTCAGGATCCAGATCCATCAGGATATTCACACATTTCGTTGCTTTCAGTGCTTCTAAACTACTAGAACGTGATTCACACTTTTCATATTACTTTTCAGGAACGTGTAACGCGTCCGAATCAAAGTAAATCCACGATAAATTGCAAGATTGCATTCTGCGTGCCAGGAGTAAGTGCCCGGTTCAAATTTAACACTTTGAATGCCACGTCGTTTAACGATCTCTTCAATTATAAATAATGTTACGGAAAAAGGTAAACATCGTTAAAGTAGAATATAAATAGACTTGTTAGATGTTAATAACTGAAATGATTTTCCAGAATTTTAGTGTGCCACTCAAAGTGTTAAGGAACTCCTACAAGACTACTCAAACTTCAGCCATTCCATCTACGGTTAATTAACCCTTAACGGTCAACGTTTCTTTTTATAATACCGATCATTTTTCAATTCTTCTTTATACAGGGTGTTCGACAACAGGTGGGCAAAATTTTAAGGGGTAATTCTAGGGATCATAATTCCAGTAATTAACGTTTAAAGATTCGAGTAAAAAGCGCCTGAAACCTGCAATCCGCCCAGCACCGACGACTGGACGTCAAGTCAGCAGGGGTCGGTATAGTCGTAACCAAGAATCGAAGCCGAATGCTGCAGTAAGTTTCTACTATTCAACGATTTTTGGCTATGACTGTACCTTCCCCTGCTGACCTGACGTCGGTTCAGTCGTCGGTGCTGGACGGGTTGCAGGTTTCAGGCGCTTTTTACTCGAATCTTTAAACGTTAATTACTGGAAAACAAAGCCGCAAACGCTATTTCGTTATTCTTGATATTTTTCGTCTTATTTTGATCCCTAAAATCAGCCCTTAAAATTTTGCCCACCTGTTGTCGAACACCCTGTATATCTCCACAGCTGAGCCTTCCGACCTTTAAGGGTTAAAGTTCAAACAGATATGTTCAAGAACTTATAAGTGGATCAACGGATTGTCCGGCCATTTTCCATATTCCATCAACTTCGAACGTACATGTCAGTCGAAACGTGCAAATCAACAGCAGTTGCTACCAGCTGATGTACTGTACTTTCTCGTATCATCATAAATACTTGTTGCACACTACCGATCTTTATTTAGCAGGTCGTGCTAAATTTGTCCTGTCCTTTTTTTAACACGTGCACGTCGCGAAACACGGTTCTCGACGACGTCCATCCTCGGCACTTTTCTGCGTCGATACTGTAAGAAGGCTATCTGTACGTGGTTGGAAAAATCGATTGATATCTAGTGAATCACTAAGAAGGATCAAATGAAAAAGAAGAAAAGGAGGAAGAGGAGGAGAAATATTGTTTGCTGCGATTGGAACAATACACTGGTTATCCGAGATTTTTCTAACGATTTCATACGAATCCAAGCCTCGGACGTGCACGCGTCATGGGATCGTTGCCAGAATACAGGCTAATCGATTGCAGTACCGTATCCATGCCCATTTTACCCTTCCAATTCAACTTTTATGCCAATCAATGAGGAATGACTGAACTTTTCATCCGGCACGAATTGTTTTCGATTAATTCCATTTGTGGGAGTGCAGGTAAAGAAGATGCATTTTTAAGCTTTTCGTACAGCTGAAGAGTATTATTTCGATTCACTATGTTACGGTGGGGTCTGTATCGGTGATAAGAAGCTTAAAGTCTTACGCGATAGTATTTAGCATTATTAATCCGTATCGAGTGGAAAATTTAATTAACCCTTGGTATATTCTATTAAACAGGCTCTGCTCCAGATGAGAAAGAACAAGACTTCCAAGAGCCTCCATGATTATTTAAACTAATATCAAAATGACGACGTTGGTTGAAAACGAGTAGAAGTGCAAGTAATTTATTAAGAAGAAATAATTTGTCCCAGCATTCGTTGGAATGAAACAAATCGATTTTCAAGGGACGACTGATAGAATTAGAACACCGGTTGTAGGAGAAATTGTGGAGAAGTCGACCGATTCCTGTTATCGATTATAGCCTTCCCTGTCGTGTGTGCAGGTGTACTTTGTATATCGGTTTCAGTAAAGGTATCATAGGGATTGTCGACGACGAGTTTGTTAGCACACCGACTCGACACGACCACCCTACAGTAATCTGGAGCACGTGCCCCTCTTTTCTGTTCCCTTCAATTATCGATGAAATTCTGTTTCGTACATTTTGCTATTCGTCGTTATTGAACCGTGAGAGAACATGAACTCTGTTTATCATGGATTAACTTTAAAAATGAAGAAGAAGAAGAAGAAGAAGAAGAAGAAGAAGAGTTAAATAGAAAAATCGAATGACGCACGAAGAAGACATCGATAACTCAGCATGATAAGGTGTACATATTCTCATCTACAAGATCCAGATAATTAAATTTGGCTGGAGCGTCACTGGGTGAATAGGGATTATCGACCAGGACGCCTCGTGACACGGCACAGAGAATCGACACCGACACTTGTTACCAATTAATTACTAACACTAACTAGTATTTTTAACTTCTTTAAACAAGCAGATCATTTATTAAATGGCACTGGAAAAAATGAATTACAGGTAGGTCTCGATTGAACCAGCATTAGTCGAGACTTACCTGTATTTCACGGACAGGAGGTAAATTTTTCAAGGCGATTTCCAGTTGTAGATGATAAATGATTCCATGGTACGTGGGCACGTTATAGTTAGAAAAATTGTAACACAGGTTTCAACAGAACGAGGTCACGAAACCCAAAGAAAGGGGAAAAAATGGCGCGCATGCCGATTTATATTTAGAAGATCCAAACCCCATACTGAATCCAGTGATGTGGTGGAAATATAGATTCTATGTACGTTTCGAAAAACGGCAGCACCTTGATTTATTTATGTGGAATAACATTATGGAATGCAATATTTATCAAAAATAAGAGGAATTAATTGTTGGAAAATTATAACGATGCCTAATGATAAAGGTAAGAATTGAAGATAAAGGTCCTTTTAGAACGATTCAATGGAAAACTGAAGATACTCTATATAGACAGGTACTATAGAATTTATGACGTAATTGAGAAACTTTTCAATGAGGAACATTCCTCCAATATCCTGTAACGCTTGTCCTACAAAGGCGCACGCGTAAAATCAGCAGAGACGTTGCTCTTTCCTCGAGAATTTCTTTGATCCGTCACATTTTCCATCAGACACAATTCAAACTATTTCTATGGAATTCTTTCAGCTATCATTTCCATTCAGACTTCGTCCCGAGAATCGAGAAATCTTACAGAAAATTTACCTTGGTAATTCAGAAACCGCGGACACGACGTTTCCTCGGACGAATTTATGGAGGAAAAAAGGGGAAAAAGACGAGGTAGTAAAAGCCAACGGCGTGTATCGATCAAGCCAAGTTTTAAATGAGAAGCTTTCATTATCGTCTTAGCAACGATCATCGGTGTGTCAGCTATGTTCACGAAGCCGCGGTCGTTTCAGCAATATTTGCAACTATTATGTTTATTCACAATCACTCTAAATAAATAATCTTATATTTGCGCAGAGTTGAATGGAGGTCACCGGTGTTTCAGACGTTGTGTAATCGAATAATTAACTGAAAGGGAAAGAAAAACTGAGTGCTCATCATTAATAATAATTAGTGCTTTAGTGCGCTCTACTACATTTTCACTGTGCCAATTAACACGTTAATCAAGCATGAAACAAACGATGTCAAACCTTCGAATAACAGTCGGATAAATAAAAAAAACTGCAAAGGAAAAGCTTGTCTCGACACACTTTCGTTGGTAACGCTCAACCCCGAATCTTCTCGAGGAAACTCTAAAAGCGTCATTCGAATGAAACCCTAGAAACGAAGCTACCCGGCCATTCGAAAACATCTCTGAGAAAATCATTCGACGAATCGAGAAGGAAAAAGAAAAAGGTCGGCGATGATCTGAATTATAAATTAAGCCGAAAATGTACAAGGAGCGAGTGTCGTCTATTTTCTAGAACGGATCAATCGTCGGTAGAAGCGTAGATGTCGCGTACGACAAGCGAAAATCTATAAGTTTCTCCTAAACATTCGAAAGCCTGGATTCACCTTAATCTATCTCGATTAGAGTACTTACGATTCCAGCTTGGTCAGCCACATCGGTACGACGCACATTTTTCCCGATTCATCCCCGCGGACAACAGACCTCCCCTTTCTTATCTCGGCGTCTGTTTCGTCGATGAAATTTGTCCAGATTAATACACGCACTTTTATTATTCTCTTTTAATCAGGATATATGGAACCACCATCGGAAGTAACGAGTATCGAGAAGAAGAGACCGGGGTCTCGTGGAGAGGAAGAACAAGGTCGATGGAAGGAAGCTCGCGGGCGGACCCGATGAAACCCGCGGTGAACAGAGTACGAGTCGAATAATGAATTTCAACGTATCAGATCTGGTACTGGGGGGTACTTATTTTCCCTTCGTCTGGAATAAAGAAGAAGAGAAAAGAGGCAGCTAGAGCGGGCGTGGAGAGCCACGAAGGCCCTGGCTGAAAGCGAAGCCGACTCACCTCGTACTCGCTCTCTCTCCTGCGGCTCGAGCTATTTCCAGCATCGATCCGCTTCGCGGGAGAAACATGCGCGTACCGCGACGCCCACCGACGCCACCGACGCCCCGAACAACCTTCTGACCCCTTCTTCCGAACGCTACTACCCTTCTTCGATGGTCTAAGTCTTCCGCGGGGACCGCGAAACGTCGATTCGAACCGAAACGCGCGCTGCTTTCCCTCCCCGATCGATCCTTACGTGGAACGCCATGGAAAATTGATCGCTTCGACCAATTTAATAGTAGATCGAAAAAGGGTAGTGTAATATTTTCCCTAATTAATGTCATCTTAATTATTCAAAGCACCATAAGAGATACAGATATGTATTTCTCAAGTAAAAAGTACTTGTCGTAGGCTTGTTAATATTTATTAATATAAATTATAGATGTATAGTATCTATATATAGTATTTAATAAGTACTTTTGTGATAAGGGATACCGTACTTCATCATTGTCAATCACTGTCTCGAGCTCAGCGTTATTTATATTGATAAATTAAAGATAAAATTTTGTTTAAAATTGATTTTGAATGTAACAATATTGTACTGTAAATATGATTAATTATTAAAAAGATGATACTAAACCTGTTCAATCTTCTATACGGTTCTATTATGTGGGCAAGGAAAATTTAAAAAATGATTCTGGAACAGCGCCATCTAGCGGTTGGGATCCAAAACTAACTATCGAGGTATACTATGCACACAGAGAAAAATCATTAATAACATTTTCCAGAAACCTTCGCGCTGATGTGAAATTAAATTAGAAAAAGGTTTACTTACCTTCGTTCGCTTAAACATGTAATGATTGCTCGAGAAAAAGAGTACGATAATAATAATTAATAATAATAACGATAAACTTCTTATTCATCATCTCTTTTTTCTATACAAGTGCACAAATATTTACAGAATCAATATAATGACAGATACGAAGGTGCCGTTGAGCGTGTTTCCCATTCTTTGCCTCTCTTTCTCTCACTCTCACTCTCTTTACTTTCTTTATTCTGCTAAAAATTCAATTCTTTCCTGGACAGAATCCAGATGATATTTTGGCACATCTCAGTTTTTCTCATGTCTCTTAAACACGCGGTCCGTTACTTGGCACAATACTTCCGACCATCGTGCGTGATTTCCAAACTTAATTCAAACAGACAGATTACAAAAACGATAGAGAATTATAGTATCGTTTTCGCCGTTCTTTTTTCCATTCCTTTCACACAAAAATGAACCCTTTCGCTGAAGTACATGTTGTATAATAAGTTGCCTGTCGTCAAAAATTTAAACACACCCAATTTTCAATCCCTGGAAATCTTTAACTATAAAATGGTAAAAGTTTTTCCTACTCAGCTTTACTCTCTGTACACAGTCCGCAGCGAAAGGGTCAAATTACCCTTGCAAAAAGCTTCCTCGCCTAACTAAACTGATCGATCATCGTTGCAATTCTGTCTTCTATTCTTTTCTCCCTGGAGCCACGTTTTTCACATCCTTCGTTATTGCTAGTCGCCTAAAGAAGATGCAAATGGTTCGTGAATAATACATGATCGACGCAAAGTGCGACATCAGACGAAAAAAGAAAGAAAAGAAAATAACAAATAAAAATTCTACGTTTCAAAGAAAACAACATAATAAATACCGTAGAACTTTTTCTTCTTCTTCTTCTTCTTTGTTTTTTCTTTTTAATCCAAAATTTTTCAAACATCTGTTTACGCTGGTTCACACACGATCCTAAGTCTATCGATCATTTAACGAGGGTCTACGGGGGGGGGGGGGGGGGGGGGGGGGAGAAGGTATGACTTTTCATCTCTAAACAAACACGAGAGACTGCCTAGGGCGAACGATGAAACGTTTACGAGTGTTCCGCCTTTTTTGGAGTTTACTAGTTCACACGAATTATAAGTACCAGGAGACGTTGACCGTGAACGATTCGCGATCTTCCGGGCTAAAGTATAGCGTGACACGTTCCTTTACGTAAGATGTCTCTGAAACTACTGAATGTTATATGACAAAAAACGTCCATGGACGTGAAAACGCTTCTGTCGTACAAGATTCTTACTTGCTGTATCCTAGAAAAATCTGACGATTTCTTTTTTTTTTTTTTTTTTGGAAAGAACGAGGGGGTTTCAAGATTCACATCTTTGAGAAACGTTAGTATCTTACGTGGAACTGTAGCGACTTTTTCTTCGAGATTACTGCATTGCCTCTCTAAATGGCCCAAGTTTGGAATCGTGTTGTGGTAAAAAAAAAAAATTGAGATTAGAATTTATCTTTTGGTTCTGGACTGTTGATGAGGAGGCACACTTGGACCGCAGCATTCATACATTTGGAATATCACAATCTATCAGTGTGCAAAAGTTGTTATTTCAATATCAAAGTAAAACTTGAAAAGCTTGTCCTTATAGCTTGAGAATGAGAAGTGGTAAAATCTTGCCCTTTTCGAAAGGCAACACCGTATCTCTATGCGAACACAAATTGTGCAGTGTGAAATCCTCGAGAAACGTGCGTCGTGCATCCGACAACCAAAGGATTATTTCTTTGGGATTTATCCGACTCCAGAGACGAGGTTATCTCGTTTATCTGTTTCCACGCGACGCAGAGCTCGAAGTCGAGGAACGAAGAATCTGGAAGATTATCGACGACGATCCTCGAGCATCCAATGGCACCAAATACGACACGGAAGACTGCACCGAAGCAGCGGTACTTGGAGTACGACAGCCTGGGCGACGAGCGTTACTGTACGAAACGTAATATTGTATAACACAGGCACCGATAAAAGAACCTGTCCTTTATGACAATTTCTTCCAGTCAGACTTTCAAGTCGCCTCTCTCGAATACTGGCCTCCGCTGCCGTTCCAGCGAAAATCTGGGATGGTTTGAAAGGCTTTACGTTGACTGTATCCAAGTCGCAGGCACCCACTGAGGCTCCCTTTCCAACGAATTGATCTCCGTTAACAACTGGTTGTAAGCTCGGTCTGTGTCGGTGTTTATGATGATCATGTCGAAAAGGTGGCCGTACTTGTCCTCCATTTCCCTTGCTTTCTCTATTATATCCTTCAATTCTTCCTCCTTGAAGCTTTCATTGTTCTTGATCCTCTTCTGTCTAAGCTTCTCCAAGCTCGGAGGCGCGACAAACACTACGTAAGGCTTCAAGTCCGAGTTTCGCAGGATTTTCAAGCTCTGAGGATGAAGATTAAGGACACAGATTTTCCCAGAGTTCACGACGGATCGAATTGCCTCGACGGATGTGCCGTAATACGCTTTCTCGTATTCACCGTGCTCGACGAACTTTCGACACAGAATATCAGATTCGAACTGAGAACGGGAGATGAAATGGTAGTCTTGACCGTCCACTTCGGAATCCTTCCTAGGACGACTGGTGTCTGAAAAGAAGAAAGAAACACGCTTAAATCTTTTTCGAACACACATTCTACACGCATGGTTCGATCGACGAGTGCTTACGAGGAATAGCCGCTGCAAAACGTTCGCTGTCCTGCATCAGCCTTTGTCTCAACTCGTGCCGTCCGATATTCGGTGGCCCTATCAGAACTATTGGTCTCTTGTGATTCGCCCTCGGATAATACAAAGCTACTTCCTCGTACGTTAGCACCTCTTCGCTGTCGTAATCTATAAATTATGAACATTTTATTAGTAAAAAAACTTTAGTAAACTTATTAGTAAAATCAACTTTAGTATCCACCATCGATGGCAGTTGTCGCGTAATGCGGATAGCCGTCATCGTTGTAGTTCGCCCCGAATTTGTTTCGTTTTTTCTTCTTTGGATTCTTTCTGGCGCACAACAACGTGCTGGACTTTTTCGAACCGCGGACGGTCGATTTGTCACCGGCGATAGTTTGTTTCATGGATTCTCGTCTGCAACGAAAACATAATTTTACCCGTTTCCAAAGACTGTTCCAAAGATTGTTCGATTAATCCCTTGACTACGGCAGACTTTGAGACGCACCGGCCGTACCATACGGTAGGAATTCAGTTACGACGTACGCCGAGAACGGCGAAATTTTGGATTGGGATGCATTTTTGTGAAAACATATTTCAATAATCAAAAAAAACTGAATTTCACTACATTAAAACAATATTATTTATTTCTTTGTATTCTGAACCGAGAATAATTATCGATAAAATTTTCAGGACGCCTATAGGTGCCTTCCATGACAGAAAACCAAACTGTCAACTGTCCACAAACGCAAAATTTCTAAGTGCCTATAGGCGCTCTCAGCAGCCTAGGGGTTAAAATCGATCAACGTACTGATGCTGGAAAGCTTTGCTAGGTATCAAGCCAGCCAGAGTTTGATCCTCTTCTCCTTCTCTGTATGCCTGCCACCAGTTCGGGTCCTCCTGAGAGATCACGTGTAACACGTCACCTTTCTGAAAGCTTACACCCAACTCTCGACAAGGAATATAAGGATCTTCCTCTGGATCGTAGTCGAAATGAGCTCGTATATGCTGTATCTAATGAGAAGGTACACAAAGTATTTAGCAATTTGATTCTTTGTATTCTGGAAGATCAGAAGATATTTAAGCACTAGATACCTGGTTGGTGTCTTCCCTTCTATTGGACAAATTATTTCTCTGACTCGTGGGAGCTGGAAGCACGAGAAACGTAAGACTGCCTTGCATGCCGGCCAGAATGTCGCACACCTCGTTCACGCTTTTCCCGCGCATTTCCACACCATTCACTTCCAGAACCTCGTCGCCTTCGTGCAGCAACCCGGACTTGTCCGCTGCACCGCCACGAACCACGCGACCTGTAGCAGCAGCAGTTAACGATGAAGTTCGGTTCAAAGGAAATTGCGTTTGCTATACTATCTAGAGCGATATGATAATACCTATGATAACGGCATCGCCCTCGTTTCTAACGGTAGCACCCAGAGGTTCGTTAGTCTTCTCGATTCTGATGATCTTGATATTGTCCACGCCTCGAGAGCCCCTCCAGCTGGAATTCGGACTGGGAGGACCACTGGGTGACGATGAGGAAGGACTCTGCTTTCTCTGCAACCCGTCGACGCACGAGACGATTGAGTCGTGAGTGAGAAGGAGAGCTTCCATGTCGTAGCTCGTCAGAATTCCGGTCAGCTCCTCCACGGCGGCGATCGTTTCCGCTCCGCCGACACCTGCTGCCGTCGACGAAGACTGCCATTTCTCGAGAATATCG